AGGCCCGGACTTTAACCAACACACACAGCAATTTAAACAGATGTATGAATACTTAGTGTGCAAGTAACTAAATAGTCAGATAGCCCTGCCACACATAAGTCATATTAAATATATATTTTAAAATAAATGTATCAAAAGCATTTGCTGTGTCTAAAATCCTATTTTGTTAAATGATATATTCATAGTTTTGTAACTGTGCTACATAGTGTTTGTTTTGTGTGTGTATGTCTATTATATACACAGTATTATGACGTTACATTACCTCAGCCCTCCAATGTACTTCTGTTTCTCAAATATTGTAATATTATCATATCCGAGACGGGCCAGGAAGGAGGCACAGCTGATTGACGCTGGGCCACAACCAATCAGAGCGACAGGAGCGTGGTAAGACTCTGGCATCTCATTGGCTGGTGGGAGCTCAGGATTCCTAATCTGAGGGATTCCCATCTTGCTAAACACCTGGGGAGAAAATAACACACCCCAATATTTAAAATGTTCGCTTTCACTTTTAAATGGGTTCAGGAATTCACTCACTTCACTAACATCTACCGATAGAAATGTTATAATATGATATATAACATCACATTTTATTTTTGATTAACTGCTTACGTTGTGCGACGTTGGTAATCGATGTGGCTGCTAACGGCAGCTTGTCTGCCCGCATCCGGCCGGACTTATCAGTGAAAAGTCACTTTAATGCCTTAACTTTAAAGGGTTGACTAACATCTTACTGAGGTAGGGACGCTTTCATAGAGAGACATCCTCTGTCCCAAAACCCTCACATCAGCGCAGGGACAACTCCCCAAAAAATGTACAATGTGTAGATACATACACAAAGAGACGAAACGTGTAGCTTTGCTGCTTTAGTTCAGTGTGATTATAAACTTTACATTTAGTTGTGTTTTATGGAGCAGGAGGAATAGCAGCATCACGCTGAAGGGCAACGATGTCTGTGGGGACATTCAGCTGCTGTAGCTTGGACATATTCTGTAATATATTAAGTTACAGTTAAAGTAGCTCGGATCTTATGCAAGGAAAAAATGGAGTCCTTGCATACAGGTTAATAAATGTGTTTGCTGTTGTGGTTTTTATTGAGTGTTGAGTTTATTTCCTCTACCTTAAGATTGCATTATTACTTTTAGCTAAAAGTTCATGGCTTAACACCTTAACATTACGATGTCTACAGACTGTAAAGCCCTCTGAGGCAAATTTGTCATTTGTGATTTTGGGCAGTACAAAGTAAAATAAATTGAAATTAACCAGAATTTAATTTAAAATGATCGGAAAATGTTATTTTTCGCTCAGCCTGAATTAAATCATGCTCCAGACGTGAAGCATATCCTCCTAAATCAATTAAATAAGAAGTTTACCTTCACTACCTGCATTTTATACGTTTTGGGGGTTTAAGGTTTTTACTGTCCAGCGCAGCAGGTTGCTAAGCAACGGTGGAGAAAAGCTGATGATGCAAGTAGGAAGTCCCCCCGTAGGACAGACCGTCCCATTTCAGAGAGCGCTCAGTTCAGCCTATGTGGCGGTTGGCGCACCGGCCCAGTTAGACCAGGAGGCCGGCTCCTCATGAGCATGTAGCCCACCAAATGAGACACAGCTGATATGGTGTATAACAAATTGTTTTAACATTTTTAACATTTTCCATGACCAAATCATAATTTTTGTTACGTATGAAAGGAATAAGCCTCTATGGTGATTGTCAGGGTGCTCGTAGCCACACTTCAAAGTATATCCTGCTTTTTTGTCTATTATTCTCTAGACAGGCCATCATTTACTAAATGAGTATCAGGCTGCATCGAGGAAGACCTGCAATAAAACGCATTAAATGTTTACTTAGCTAACACATTGAGTAAGTGGGCTCAGTTTTTTATATACTTTACATAAATGCCGTTTCTGCACCTTTTAGACTCCGAGGTTTCCTCAGGAAGTCCTGTTTTTTATGCAGAAAAACGTACAGCTTTGGATTCCATACCTCGGTAGCAAACTGCTGAAGCCCTCCGATGTTAATGGGTCCCTCCTCAGACGCGTATAAGTTGCAGCCCCCCACACACAGCTCTGACGTGGGACAAACCATCCCACAGGTCAAACCCAGCGGGTTGTCTGAGAGGATGGCGCGGGCTGACCCGTAGTAGTTCTGGTGCACACAGAAAAGGGCCGTAAGGTGGCGCTGGAGTTGCTGGTCGGTCGTTCATTGTTGGTTCTTTTGCATCTCCTTGGAGACGTCTCCCACAGCATTAAACAGACATTCAGAAATGACTGTAAGAGCATGTGTGACGGTTTGTGTGTGTACCTTATTAGAGATGCTAGTAATAAATGACTTTATGTCAATGTTTGTAGGGCAGCTCTTCTGACAGGGAGCATCCGCACACTTTAGACACCTGAACACAGGTTTGACTTTTATTTGACAGTTTTACAAAGGTTTGAATTGTTTGTTTTATACTTGTCAATAATGCAAATTGAGCAACATCCAACAAATTACAAATCACCTAAAATATCAGCTGTCAAAAAGTTAAAAATCTCATGGGCTTCAAAGGGGTTGATGAATAGTACATTAATATTACAGTAATGGTACTTAATGTGTTTTCCAAGATATTTGAACTAAACAATTATAAATAAAATGATATTACTTTCTTTTCCTGTAGGTGGAGCGACATAAGAGGGGTGGAATATGTCTGCTGAGGACCCGGCTCGTCCTCGTGGAGAACCATTAGCCGTAAGTGGGAGCGAGTGTGCGGGGGAAAGCATTTCGTTCTCACCTCAGAGCTTCTCGCAGAGCGCCGCGCTCGCTCAACGTTGTGTGCTTGATATCGTCAAAGTTGTTCTCCAACTTCACACAAGACTAAAGAGCGGGGAGAATAGAAGCACAATGATTTAAAGGAAACGTGACAAAGAGGAATGCAGAGGTAGGCAGATGTGGGGGAGACAATACTTCCGTGTATTTGTTTGCATCTTACATCACACTGCTTTTCAGGGTTTCTCTTCCAGTGTTTCTTTTCCTTCTTCCTGCTCGCTGTGGACATGACCTCGGTATGAGTCTTCACCCTGGGATTCAGAGCCAGCAGGCTCTGGACCGAAGGGAGTGAAATAGATCACTGGAGAATCAGTCCCGTCTGTTTGTTACATTGATGCTGACACATATTTCTGACTTTCAACGTTTCCGTGGTCCAGAAACTTACAACGGCAGCGTCCTTCTAAAGTGTTTGTAATGAAATAGATTATCTTAATCTATTAACATTTTACATTGTTAATAGAAACTCTTTCTACCTGTTACTCATAAACCACCACCACTATCTCTCTTCATGCAACACGCAGCACTTACGTAAGCACTGAAACTAGAGAAAGTTCTCAGAAGTTGCTTGTTTGGATGCTACGGGTCACAATGATAAGGTGCACGGAGCTCATGTGACTCTGCTTATGTTCATACATTATGTTCCTTCTTGTTACAACAGGAAACACGTTCAATTAAGAAATCCAGATCCAAACCTCGGGTAGTTAAATATGATGACGCACGTCCTCAAACCCCGAGAAGTCACATAAGGAGACGGATCTCAGCAGCTTGTTAGTACCAATTTCTAACCAGGTTTCTATACACTTGTAATCTAGTTAGACGGGACTTCATAATATTTTGTGAAGCTGCTTCATGTTATGGCAGTTATGACATTTTACAGTTTGCTCAACCAATCTCAGTTTCAAAATTCTTTGAGTTGAAGCTATTGCCCCATCTGTACACGTGCAGCCCCAGCTGACTGCAGCTCATCATGTCCTGCTGGTACAACGGAGCACGTGGCTTGTTGCATAAAACCATGAGGCCATAGTACGATTACATGAAATGGTTTTCCATATTTCTTGTGCCATGCAGTAGAAGTATCGTTAAACCCTCTGAACCACAGAAAGCATTTCATAGCCAGAAGCTGAATGAATCAAGCCGGAGCTTCTGTCTTTTGTGCTTTTTAATAATCATTGCATGGCAGGAAGACCACAGTGTCCTATTGGTGGAATTATGTAAGAGGGCGTTTCAGGTAATGCACTTCAGCTCACATGCGAAACTCTCCTGTAACCACAGTCACAGGTGTATTTGAAGTGGCAGTGCATGCGTGTATTACTGCACCTTCAGTGCAAATGCATTTTTGTGAAATTGCATGTATTCTTTGCCCCTGATGGAGACTACCATTTACATGACTATCACGTAAGATGTCAGATAATTATCTTGACATGTTATGGATAATCAGCAGAGAGTTGCACGTGTAACATGTACACATTTGTTTGGACTATTGGAAATGAGAGAAACGTAAAAAACGTGTTGCAACTGTGCCCGCTCTCCCAGCCAATCACAGGCTGCCATCAGCACCACGTGGTATTAACGTAAACGAAACACAAATACAATAAACTATTACATACCTCAATGTCTTGTAGGTCTTTACTCAACATGGCGGTTTTCTCGGGCTTGGTGGAGGAGGAGGTGGTGGCTTTGTGCACCAGAGGATCAGTGTCACTGGAGGAACGTGAGGGTCCTTATCAGGCCTCCTCTCAACAACAGTTCAACGTCACGGTGACCCGAGGAAGCCTCTCTGCAGCGAACGCGCTGATAAGGTGGACAGACCTGTCCGTCAGCCGATAGGACGTCGACCTTCAGCGCAGCTGGAGGCTTTGGGACCGATCAAACAGTGACCACGGTGCGGTCCGGTCCAAAGATCATAGTCCCCTTTACTGTAAAAAACAGAACATGAAAACACTCTTTTCTCGTTTTATGTTTTTAAATCAAAAGCGTTTATCGTTCTCGTTTATCGTTTAAAAACAAAACAGAAGACAAACTCACAACTTTTTACTCTGTTAGTCCCTTTTGTTTTTTTTCCCATAAAACGAAAATACGAAGCGGCGTCGCTAAACCGGAAGTTCGTAGATTTTCACAGTAAGAGTCAACGTGTGTATGCGAGAGATCCGTCTGCGATGCCAGCGGTTACCAGGGTAACATTAGGAGAAAAGTGAATTAACTCAAAGTGACTACTTCACTGCAAAAATGATTTGAACAATAAGTCATAGTAACTTCTTTTTGTTATTTACCTCCACTTATCATGATTAGTTGTACAATTACAACTTAATTGTTTTCAGTCCTCCAACTCAGGTTTTTAAGCCACACACATTGTAAAGTTTAATGAACTCAATACTGAGTTGACTGTCAGTCAACAGTCAAAATGAAGTTCCAATGACTGTCTTTTAAAAGCGATTCAATTTCAATTGGACCCCCATGTTAAATTGTCACAATCTACACAGAAATACCAATGCATAAATTCTGCTACTAAAAAACAAGTTTATTTTTTAACTGTGTATTGTGTGACTTTTTAATAATTCCTGTAAATTATAGTGAGGCTTGAAGTTATGTATAATCGGACTGTACCAGCTCGCAAACTGCGAGCTGTCTGTCTGCTCAGCTGCATCACAAACCAATGGAAATACTACACGGCGAACTAACCTAAAGCACGCGGCGGATTAATACGTTCTGAACAGCCGGATCACAAACGTGACCTGGACCCCATCACGCAGTACGTCGGCTCAGCGAACCAAGTGGCGGATGAATATCGTTCACCAGCGAGACGATGAACGCGAGTCGACTTTTGAAAACCGGCGCGACAGCTCGGAAAAGAGAGTCTGAGGTGAGTGGATCCATCAAAAATATCATTCAACCCAGTTAGTAAATGTAGAGAAAGTTGTTGTCATGTTAATATATTGTATATATATTGTTAATATATTGCATATTGATACTAGAGGTTATTTTAATGCAGTTGTTCCAATATGGCAAATAGTACCGTGTTAAAGTAGCGTTAGCTTAAAAGCATTGGGCCGCATAAATCCCGATAACCAACCGATAGAGCGGTTGTTGAACAATAGTACATAAAGTCCTATCATTATTAATGTTTCAGAGGACATTTAGAAAAATATAGTTTAATCAAGCCAACGTTCATGTAACCTTTAATTAGCAGAGCTGCCAACCTTTCAAAAAACCTTGGAGTGAGATTTTGGGTGACCAAAATTTTGCCGCGCACGCAGCCGCACACGTTGGTGGCTCAAATATCAGGAAGGTGGAATTCATTTGGCTTAGTACCCATGTTGTACCCTGCTCTCTGGTGGTTTGTGGGGCCCAAAGTCGTTGATACGGGCGGCCTACTAGAGATGGACAACATTGGTTACATTCTGTGAAGCAGACATAGCTGATGGTCCACCCCCAGGACATTTTGGTTTAAGTAGATGTTATTTCATGCATTCTAGTGGATCTTTGGGTCGTATGCCTGAACTTATTCTGATTCATGTTCATCTGCTCATGACTTGTGGGGCCTTCTAGACTTGAGCTGAACATCCAACCAGAAAACTATTGCTGTGCCTCAATGACTGTCTATGTACCACAATATAGCCTAATTAATAGACCCGTGTTTAAGATTTGACCAATTTAGATTGATTGACATTTTGATTACAATGGTATTCAACTAATTCTTAACTGAAACCTAACCTATATTGTTAATAATTGTATTCTTAAGAGCACTTAATGATTTATGTTCAGCAAAAAATGACAAATGCTATGTGAGCAGCCTTAATAAACAATGCTATGATGTTTTGAGCATGCAGTATACCAAGAGGTTAACAAGGCGCTCTCCTGCACCTGAGTTTACATTCACCACTCAAAATCACACGCACAAACACAACTAATAATTTCTTTCAAGATTTAAAGTTTAAGAAGTTTAAGAGAGTGAGTACTTAATTGAACAACATGTCATTAACATGCCTTAGTCTTTGCTCCTCCTTGAGTTTCTCCCGCGGTTGTGTCTGTTTGAAAATCTTCTTCTGTTGCTAACTTGGGGACTCTTTGGGGTAAATCGTATGTCTATGCAGCGAATAGGGTTACAGATGCGCTCCTTAGCGCCATCTATCGTCGGGGAGTTTGAAAAGGAATGAAGGCGCTTCGGCCCAAAATCAGAATTATTATTTTTTTCGCCGTGAGAAATTGGTTGTGTGGCGTGAGTGCGTGTGAAAACATGCAAAAGCGTGTGTCACACGGCAAAACCGTGAGAGTTGGTCGCTCTGAATTAGTGATGTACGTTGTGGCTAAAATGTCTGCAGTTGTTTCGGGCAGACGCGCTCTCAGTCCGCTGGTGCGCGCGCACACGGACACGTGCCGTGTTCTGCCTCATCTGTACAATCTCTCTCTTAGGGGATCTCCTCCAGCTGCATGCCGCCTATCGGAGGGACGCCTTTTACGGCTACTTGTCCTGCCCCATCCCCGCCACTGGTCGTTGTATCGGTAGGTGTACGCTCCAAACATTCCCCATGCAACTGGCGCTTTTTGAAAACCTGCCTGCCCTTTTCCGCTCTCTGTGTGCAGGTGGCTGAGCCAAGACTCAGACTAACCGTGACTTTGGAGCGACCCGGATGTACCTGTGGGGAAGACCGTCTGCGGTAAAAGTGTAACCCTCAAACAGATCACTTGATAATTGCCGATGGAGGACAGTCGCACAGCAGGGCGCCCGGCTGGAAACGGGTCCGCCTGGCCGGCCGAACTTCACTGACCTCCGAACTGCTGTCCAGGGAGATTAGCGGTCTTATCCTTATCAAATGCGTGGTCCCTGCTACAAACACTTTCTGTTCCATAGGCACGCAGACAGCAACATTGAAATTGTGAGCATGACGGACCGTTTCTACTCTGGTCCGTGATGTGAAGCAGTTACGAGGCCAGCTGGACGCAGTCGTTGATGACCTGGTCCCAAGAGCGCCAGAGGTCTACAAAGCTACAGGCACTAAAGACATTTTGAACTGCCTCAAAGATGTATGAGGTTGCTTATTATTTGTAAGTCCATTTTACATTTACTTTTAAGGTTTTTCTGTCTGAACCTTTTGTGAATATTCTCTTTAACTCCACAGAATATCTTGTTTAAATACAGTATAGAGGTTGTTAGATATCTGCATGTTATAATGTAAAACTATTCATTCTAATGTGAGAATAATTATAATTTTTGCAACAAGACATGGTGTTTCTCATAGCTATAAATTGTCATTTGAAACAATCCATACTTTTAAGTAAAATTAACTAGGAAAGTAATTTTAACTCAAATGAGCGAGTTGAAATAATTACTTAGACCTAGTAAACACAATGCATGATCTCTGGAGCTGTGGACGCATCCCACCGTCAGGCTGGAATCTGGTTGGGAACCATTGTAGCAGACTAGCTGCTCTTTAGCATGTTGGACACACCAGCATGACACGGTTACAGAAAATGTATTTCCCGCCAAATAACACTGGTTGCTGAAGCCTGTTTTGGGAGGAGGGTGTTTTAAAACTGAAAACTGTGACCGTGAACTGAGAGAATAAACATGTCCCTCAATATGTAGATAAGATTGCAGTTTAGTGACACTGGAATGTTTGGACAGGTTGTCTCCAGTGGCAGAGAGACACCTTTTACTTGAAATACAATATTGTATCGTAAAGCACATTCCATCTATGCAGCTTCCTGATCCTGAGCACTTTGTTGGTGCCAAAGTGTGACACTTGTGTTAGTGAGTCCACCTCTTCACTCTGCTGCTACTGATGCATCCGGCTTCGCTGTCCCGGTAACTGAGAATACTCTTCCTTATTATAAAAATTGAATGTTTAACAATAATTTTCTCTTGGAAATAAAATGTGCAATCGAGAAGCTGGCCTAAAATATGGCTTTGGACTAACATGAACACAATCAGTGATAAGGCTTATTTTTTTCAAAATAGTAACATCTGACAGCAATAATTTTGTGGGGAAATTTGGACTCTTTGGGCAGAATTCTTACCTGCAAGTCCGCTTTGCTCCGTGAAAAGTACAAGACTTGCCATAGAGAAGAGTCAGATATCCGTGTAGCCCCCGCATGTCAACTGCGGTCAAAGAACCTGTCCACTTGGCATTGTACCACTTTATTTGGGGTCGTCGTGGCGCAGGGGGTAGAGCGGGTGCACTGGGAACTGCAAGTTTGGTGATTCGAGTCCCGGCTGCCCCATGTCTCAAGTTGAAGTGTCCCTAAGCAACACCACGACACCTAACCCTTTTTTGAATAAAAGCGTCAGCTAAATGACCTGTAATGTAATGAAATCTTCATCCTTTGACCTCTTCGGTTTACATTCAGGATTGAAGTTGGCCAAATAATGATTATATACAAAGAAACCAAAAGTGAATTTGAAATACATCTGTAATAACCGTCATAAATAACGTAAACAAAGTTAAATATAATTAAATCTATGGTTTAAATACATGTATTCGCACGTTTACTCTGCGTCTCCTTGAACTGTCTCTGCTCTGCCTTCACTGACACAATGCGTGGAAGATAAATATCTGATCCAAGAGCAACGAGTGTGCGTGTTGTCAACTATTGGTGCTAACACATCCCGTCGGACCAGGATTATTTATTTATATCCATTAACTTTTAACCGCTGGCTTCGCAGACGGATTTATAGCATACACACGTTCCATTGCGTTGACTCTTACTGTGAAAATCTGCGTACTTCCGGTTTATTGGCTCCGCTTCGTATTTTCGTTTTATGGGAAAAAAACCCAAAAGGATTAACGGAGTAAAAAGTTGTCAGTCTGTCTCGCTTTTTGGTTCTAAAGGAAAAACGAGAAAACTGCGGTTCATTTCCGTTTTACCGCTTTTGATTAAAAACGAGAAAATAATGTTTTCGTTTTCTGGTTTTTACGGTAAAGGGGACTATGAAAAGGTCCCTTTTCTTTTTTTTACTTCTTCCTGCTTGTCTCACAAGAACTCCACTCTTCCCTTCCTTGCTGAAGGGGTCTGGCCTGAAACCCGCCTCAGTCTCTCTGCAGCTGCAGAGAGATGACGCTCTTTTGTCTTTTTGTGTTTTATAATGCTGCAGACCACCAAACAATAAATGCCAAATGTTATCCTATTACTTGAAGACTGTGGATTAGTGGAGAGCAGGTCGTCCTGCACACCTTCCCTCACAAACCACTTCCTGTCTTTGTTCAGTTTCCCGCTCTTTTCCCCACACTTGAATTCATTCAGTCATACTATACATCACATAGTCTTTATCTGAACCCCAACCACTAAAGTTATCTTATAATCACAAAATGTAGTGAGTATTTATTCCTCGACGTTTGTTACGTTACTGACTTAGAAAGTGATATTTCAGGTTCATAACTCTTTGAGCTCAATTTGATCCATTTCTGTTAAGTATAAAGTATCTATAGTTTGATGGAATTATAACTTAACAGCAGTTTGTTGTCTAATGTGTATCTAGTCTCAGATGTGTCCTCCATAAGGCGCCTGTTGGGCTGCATCTTTACATGTCCGCATTTGGAGGAGCCGACTGAACGGGAGAGTTGAGTCGCAGACAAAGTGACGAGCAGCCTCCCCCGGAGGATGCAGCCGACCAAATGAGACACGGCCGCGTGCCCTCGGGCAAGACGCTTAACGCCTACTGATTGGCAGGTGTCACTGTGTGTGGTCGCTCCTGTTATCAGTAATGGATGTGAATGAGAGCTTCAAGTTGTCAGAAGACTAGAAAAAAAAATGAACTCTACAAAAACAGCCCAGTTATCAATAGTGATTTTTTTGCATAAAACACATCATTTAAATAAATAAGATTGTTGTTGCTAAGTAGTTTTAATTTCATATTATGCTTGACATTAGTGTTCGGAAGTCTTGTTATGTATTTTGTATTGCTGCGCGTCGCGCCTAACAACACCCCGAACTTACATTACTGAAGATAAAGTACTGCCTCAAGTAGCTTATTGCTTTAATACGGGGTCGCTGCGGTAGAGCGGGTGCTTGGTAAAGGTTGGTGGTTTGAGTCCCGACTGCTTCATGTCCCATGTCGATCGCCACAGAGCTAAAAGCTCAAATCTAACCTGTTACTTTGAGTGCGCAGTGATACGGAACGCTCGGGTCAATGTGAACAGCAACTGTACATTATCATGACTCCCTCTCAACCAATCAGAACGCTGGGTTTCATCTACCCGTATTATAAAGTCTATATATAATATACCTCTATCTATTAATGCCCATCTTCCCGTGGCATATTTCTACTGGAGGCATTAACGATCAGTAATAAAACTTGAGGCACCACTATGAAGCTTTAACTATGTAATTAATCTGCAACACCCCCTCAATTCAGCCCTCATAAATGACATTATATTGACCTGAGCTTTTCCTACAGTTACATGTGACGTGAGAAATGTGGGATTTTATCATTAAGAATTACAAAAAGTGTACATCAAGATATATCTGCTACTGATTTAAATTATTCAGAATAAGAATTTGGTGGGTATAAGGGATGAGGTTACGTGTGTCTGAAAACGACTCCACTATGAAGGCCGGTCTTTGCTCTTGCATGGGGGGGGTAACAGTCCAACAAAAAACAGCTTTTCAAGGGTTGTTCAGTTATTCTTTAAGTCCCCGCTACATCTTTATCAAAACCAACACATTGTAAATAAACCATTCAGCTCATAAATCCATAAACATTACGAACTCATATGCAACGGCTCCATTTGAAGTCACGCCAAATAAAACCAACATCTTATTTGGCAAATGCATGTGTATCAAACATCGTTGAGATAGAGCATCGAGGCAGCAGTGGCAAGCAGGGCGACGGTGGTTGCCATGGCAGCGCCTGAAGGACAGAGAGGAGAGTTAGGACACACTCATGCCACGTCTATAAGTCCCTAACGTGTACTGCGTTTACAAGTAAATGCGAAGTGGGAGGGGTCTATTATGGCGGATTGGTTGTCTCATTGCATCCTGGGAAAAGGGGCGGGGAATAAACAGGAAACATTACAGTTTGCTTGTGCTAATGGAGCTACTGGAGAGCAGCGTGAGTTAACAACATGGTGTGTTGTCAGAAGGCGGCACGAGGTCCACGTGCGTAGTTGATGTGATGAACATGTTTGCAGGTGTTACACTGGAGCTTCTTTTACCAAAGTAGTTCCTCTTGGATTGCAGCGCTTCAGCGGTTTCCACCGTGGGCTCTGGGAACACACAACACACCTCAGTAACACAAAAGTCCCACTTGTTAAACAGAAAGCACCAACCACATTGTGCAGGAGACACACTCGTCCTACCGTCTGCGGCATCTCCCTCCAAGACCTCGGCAGGTGTCTCCCGCCTGATGTCCAGGTCTTTCTCTGCTGCGTCCATGTCCAGCATCTCCTTCAGCCTGTCAATCACCTCAGACAGGCCCTCGTCGCTGAAGCGGTAGTCGCACACGCACACCGGGCCGCTCGCTTCCACCGGACAGAAGACGCGATGAGGGAGACAGAATTGCTCTGAAAGAAAAGGCAGCGAGAGGCTCAGTAAGGAGGGCGGTCGAGGTAAATATTATATGTTACTGTTATAAGTAGAGATGCTAAGGTGAGGCTGTTTGGATTAAGAAAACAGGACCAGTAGCAATAGCATGATAGCAGCGTATTACATTGTCCAGTTCCCAACAAACTCTTTCCAGATGCTCCAAAGACGTCACACATACAAAGCAATTACCCAGAGTTTGTCACCGGTGTTACTTGGCTCAACAAAAGCTAGAGATTAACTCATTGAGGGCAAGACGTAAAAGAAGGTAGCCATGCATCATTTAGAGTTAGTGGTACCAGATTGTACCAAACAAAAACCCAGTATATTGAAAATATATGTTTAATAAATCTAACAACTTCTGATCAAGGATTATTTCTTCTTTATAGTGTCTCACTATAATATCAGCAGAAAGAACATTGAACCAGAGGAGAAGAAAGTTGAGCGTTATTCTATCTTTGAAAATCTTTTCCCTTTGTATAAATATCTATATCTATAGATATATATACACACACACACACACACACACACACTTACCATGGCTCAACTAAACGCATTTATCCACGAAGAGAACTTGCTGACGGTCAAAGTGAGCATCAGAACGAGGAAGAAAGAGGATTTACGTGACGTTGTTGGTGCAGACGGGCTGGTCTGAGTACGTCTACGACCTGCTGGGATTTAAACACACAACCATCTCCAGAGTTTACAGAATGGTCCAATAAGAGGAAATGTCCAGTGAGCAGCAGTGGTGTGGACAGAAATGCCTGGTTGGTGTGAGAGGTCAGAGGAGAACGGGCAGACTGGTTCCACATGATAGAAAGGCAACGGGAACTCGTTACAACTAAGGAACGCACAACACCATCTGTGAACGCACAACACAGGGAACCCTGAAGAAGATCAGCTACAAAGCTAAAAAGATCGCGGCCGACCCCTCCCACCCCGGACATAAACTGTTTGTGCCCCTTCCATCTGGCAGGAGGCTGAGGTCCATCAGGACTACGACCTCCCGCCACACGAACAGTTTCTTCCCGTCGGCAGTCGGGCTCATCAACAGAGCCCGGTCCCCCACTGCCTGACTATAACACTCCACCGGTCACTCCCCCTCATACTGCACATGCCACTTTAACTGCAATTCATCACTTTGTCACTTGTCACTTTGTCTCTTGTCTGTTACTTGTTTGTTAGTGCACTTTATCCTTAATACTTTTCTTTTTAACTTTTTAATATTTAAAATATGTTTAACTTTATTCCCTTGTTTTTTTTACTAACCCATAGCCTTAGCCTTATTCTTACTAACCCATTGCATTAGCATTTCATTCCACTTTATTTTATTACCTGTGCACTGTTGTCTTGTCTGTCTACTGTCGCGCACTAACCGCCAAGACAAATTCCTTGTATGTTTGACATATTTTGGCCAATAAATGTTTCCTGATTCCTGATTCCAGCTACAGCAGCAGCGGACCACGCCGGGCCCTGGGTACCCATTGAACATGGAAGTGTTCTGAAGGCAAAAGGGGGTCCAACCTTTTAATAGCAAGGTGCACCTGGTAAAGTGCACACAATACATTCCCCTGCGTGCTTTCAGTCTCATCTGTAACAACGTTAATGATCGGTTTGTCCTGGACGCCCCGGCGGGCCGCGAGTTGATATATGTGGACAGTCTAAGACCAGATGAACGAGAAGTATGAGTTCTACGTACTTTAACCCCTCGGGGTGCTGAGCTCTTATTCAACTGTCGGCTAATCATTTCCCTGCAGTGGATCTTTCCGGTACACGTGTTCCTCTCTGCACACAAATCCCCCCTCTTCACTGGGATTGGTCACCTCTGAACCCGCCCACCACTTGGACCTCAACTTTCACCTGGACTTCCCCTGTAGCAGCTGATTGGTGGAGCACACCGCCGCGTGTACCTCTCTGATGTTCGTCTCTGCTGCTGCCCTCGCTCGCCCCTCCCGACGTCAGCAGCTCCTCCAGCAGCATCTGAGCCCTCGTGGTCAGCGTGGAGACCGCGTCCCTCTTCAGCAGCTGTCCACAGGCAACATGTCCCCATGAGACCCAACAATGGCAGAAGGCGTCTGCCTGGGATTTGGATTGTGTACCTTCTCGGCCTGTCGGGCCTTGGGTTTGTTGCTGTGCAGGTACGCTGTGCTGTAGACCGCTCCGCTGACTGACACGCTGCCTCCGCACCGCTGGACCCCCTCCGCCAACCTGCGCTCATCCTGCCACAGGAAATCATATTAAACCCAAAGATGGGTTCAACCTCATTTTAGTTTTTTCTGGCGAGCGATTTAAAAAAACAACTGCAAAACCAACTCTGTATGCCTTATCTATAAATCTTAAAGCAGTTTGCATTGTTAAATGCTCTAAGACAAAAATATAATTTCAGATTTGAGTTAATAAACTCATTTTCTTATTCAAACAATAAACAAGATATAATGAATTAGAGGATATAGAATAAAAACAGAATAGTCGACTGATTCCACTGCCAGTCACATGCTGGATTAGAAAACATCAGAAACAACACAAACATTCAGGCTCTCGTGTGGCTCAAAGGAGTACTGCAGATGCACATATTTTAAAGAGGTTGATAATTAAATAACTTGGCGACCCAAATTCATTCTTCTTCTACCCCCCTATGGGTCCCGATCCAGTGTTTGGGAATGACTGCATTATAATAGACCGTGTGTGTACATCATCAATTCATTTTAAAGACAGATGTTTTAGTTTAATAATGTAGGTCTGGATATATATTATCATAAATATTATATATTATTTTCTTACCGGTGTGATGAGTAACTGAGCGGAGTACGTCTGTCTCACGTTCCTCTTCTACAAAAAGACACAGAGGCAATCACACAACAGCTTCCACACAGTGCAAAGAACCACTGGTGGTTCATGCAGCTCTTTGAGGCTCTTGTATTCACCAGGAGAGTCACTCCAGGTATTTCAACAGCTGTTTCAAATTCTTCAAATGAACGTACACGGCAAATGACTGTACTACGTATTCAGTGTCCATATATGGCGCCGCGCTCACGCCGCCTCCCTGCATTCCCTCTGCAACTCCACCGGACGTCACCCACTTCTTCTCCCGCAAACCATCCTCCATTAAAACCATATTCTGCTCTTAGCTTAACCGACCACAACACTCAGACCTCCAAAGCCACGAGCCGCAAACCACCGAGCGACATCACGGCGACTACGTCCACTTCTTCACGCCGTCGGTGTGTCAAACACATATGGAATATTTAATATGTCTTCAAGCTACAACGTGGATACAGCTCAGAACAGTAGTGTGCAAATGGAGTAGCGTCAGAAGAACTAATACCACATAATGAGTTCCCCTCTGGCGCTCTGACCAGCTCAACAATTAAGACATCCTTCAGTATACTTCACATCCAGCATGAAGGATACGACTGTCAGTCTGCTCTCACATCTCTGTGAGCGATGCCATTGTAACAGGGAGCACACCAGCCCCTCTCAACAACTCAAAAACACTGTGATGTAATCAAGCTTTTCCAAAGGTATCCCTCCCTCCTCACTGTGTCGCCTGGATATGGTTTCCTGTCTTCTCCAAACAGCTTCGGACGTGTCAACAACAGTCTTTTTTGGCTGAGACTGGAGAAAATAGTTGATAAAAAAAGGACAAAAGCAAAAGGGCATCACCCTCATTTTGGACCATTTAAGGCAGTACCGGTACGTGGGCCATTTGGTACCACAGAACGAATAAAAAATGTTTTTTCTATTTTGGAAATTGACCGGATTCTCTACTAATTATGTGCGCTCGCCCCTCTTGACATATTTCCCAAGCGTTTTTCCACCAGCGAACAGAGAGCGCGCGACTACTACCGCCGCCCCCCCGTCAGTCGGTCCCCCCGCAATGACTACCACCCCCCCGTTATTCCGCCGGACATTCTTAACCGGTCCGCGAAATATTGTCTGACATGAAAACGGCCCGTGAGGTAAAAAAGGTTGGGGACCACTGCTTTAAGGGATTTCCTATTCTGAAATGCTTGAGTAGTACCAGCTGTGCTGCCGGAGTGCCACTGAGCAAAGGTCTGAAGCAGCCGTCTTTAGATAAACGCAGATGTAAGGTGGAATTCCTTGTTGGTTAGATGTATACAACCTGTCCTCCGGCGAGCTCAGCGTCCGCTGCCAGCCTCCTCCCGTCGATCAGACAGACGGCGCTCTCCAGCTGGTGTGCCCACCCTCTGAGCCCCTCCTGCAGGAAGCACAGCCTGAGAACACCTCCACCCACAACAAATTGAGGGGCTTTTTGTGCTCGCGCGCTGACCTTTAGACATTTGGCCGTGTCCTCCGTAGCCGTTGGATTGTCTGGCAGCGGCAGCAACACGTCCACGCTCACGCAGCAGGACACCGTGCTCCAGGAAGAACACACGCCCGACTGGTATTTCCAGTCTGCAGGCTTGGCCACGCTCTGAAACCGCCAACACACGCGATCGATGACAACGCCGCGCTGCGAGTCGGGGGTACGCGACACATTGAGTGCAAGTAGAATGATGGAAACCCACCTTGGGGTCCTTGACGTCGAAGGTTCGGCATAAGGTTCTAACAAGAGGAGTTAAAGAACATCCCCCCCAGGTATCTGGTAGCTAAATTATCCAACCACGAGGACGCGCAAAAGGATACTTTCTGGTTTTGGGGTTGACGTGCAGCACAACGCGGTCGGAGACGTCATCCTCTGCCGAGGTCCACAGACGCTCTGAGGAGATCAGGTTCTCCACTGCAAAGACCAGCTGCACCGGGTTCAGAGGAACACAACACGTTCAGGCACACAAGCATCCGGAATATTCACTGATATTTTTAATGGCCATTTATATCCCAGCAATTATTCTACTCAAGACACATATGTGTAGATGTTCTTATATTTAATGGTGTTTTCATCTCGTTATTCTTGTCTGGCTGCGGATTTATTTTTCATTGTGAGCCACAGGTGCGAAATGTGCATCATGTAAAATGTACTTTTCACCTGTCGCAGTGTGGTGAGTGTGTCCTTGGCGTCGGTGTCAGTGACGATGAAGACTCCCAATACAGAGAGGCCTCCGGGCAACATCCGAGACACCTGCAAACAGCAGCAATGTAAGCGGTTCGTAACAGCTGCAGAAAGTTTTTGTTGGCAGCCGACGTTGTCCTGCTGCCTCCTCAGAGGTTCACACAACCCATACTGTACAGGTATATTGTGAAACACATCTACAGCTCCATAAAAGTGATCATTGCACAGAGCTACAGGTGTGTTAACAACTTCTTCAAGTCTTTCTGATCCATCGCCTTTCATTGACTGTGTGAGCTCCATGTATGACGCACGTCCCAGTGTGTTCTTTTCACGCGTGCACTTTAATACATTCTTAAACACTCAGGACCACATGAGTGTGCGTTGGATACAGCCTTGCTCACCTGGCGGGCATGCTCAGTCACCCACTCCTTGTCCGGGGAGTTCCCACCCGATGCAGTAGACTCCTCCCTTTGGGGGGTCCGAGTTGCCGTGACGACATACTCCCTCTGGGTTGAGCTCTGAAATGTTTAGTCATCGATATCGATTGTCGTCCCTCACACATACAGCAAATAGTCTTTTTGATATTAATTTGATATCCAATACAAGCCCTAACTGACCAGTTGTACATCCTGAACAAGGTGTGTGTGTGTGTGTGTGTGTGTGTGTGTTACAGGTGAGGCTACGTTAGTCACATGGGTGAGAGATGTTACAGCTGCTGTGATGACATCGTCACCGGGACCACGCACAGATGCTTGTGTGCTGCTTTACCTGTCCAATGAGCAGGCCGCTGACTGGACCTGCGGTTTGTTCACACTGTTTAGTCAGATATCCCTCCACGACATCTTCCACTATGTACGTGCGGCCCATTCTGCCGAAGGACGGCGCGGAGGGAGTGCGGGTGATGGAGGACCAGCGGAGCCTCTCTGATGGAATGAAACACGGCTAAACAAGTGAAGCCGCAGGCTCGACTGGCAGCGATATCCACAAAAAAACAAGTTATTAAACAACGTAAACTCAACGTGTTTCAAGGTTCGAGACCCACTAACTTTAACTGTAGCTAACCGGTATTTACTAACCAAAATGAGCCAACTGCTGTTATGTTGTCAACGTTTCAACTCAAAGGAGTTCGTAGCTTTTGCTTCTTAGTTTGCTAACTACGTGTCATGGGGAAATACCTGATAGAAGCGAGACAGTTGGTAATGTGAAGCAGAAAAAAGGCTACTTGGTTTTCTTTCTGACAGCCTGCTGAGGTTCGTCAGCGGACCAGCAACACTCTGTTTCCCAGCATGCGTTGCGCAGTGACGTACTTCCGTCGCCTAACTTTGTCGTAATGCGTCAATGGAGAAAGTGCACAAAGACAAATAGCTCACGGGACAAGTTTTTTTGTCAAGATAAAACCTGTATTGACCATTCAACGTTAAATAACTTATTCAGGTTCGACACATGACACCAATAAATACAGTAAAACCAATAACGTTACTTTCTGTGGTTGGATTAACTTACACCGGCGTGGTAGCACTAGCGTGAATTAACGTTATACATTATCTGCCCGTGGCTTCAGCTGTGACACATACCATTAAAACTAATCCAATACATGCTGATATGTGTTCTACAGCAAAGAAAACCTGCCATTCTCAATGCAGTCATTGCAAATCCGTCACGACTACTAGCCACAGGGTCTACAATGCGTGCTTTATTTTGAAGGTTTTGAGGGGACGTCATCCGTGTGGACAAGCGGTGAATGACACTTCATTCCCCGGTCGGTTCAGGGAGCGTGTCGGCGTGCAGTACGACATTTATCTTGTACCCTAGTTTGGGATCCATTTACGGTTTCTTTTCAGGGTCGTATTGTTGGGGGGGGGATGGCGGCGGTCCTGCTTCAGGTTCTGGAGCGGACGGAGTTGAATAAGCTCCCGAAAGGCGCTCAAAACAAGCTGGAGAAGTTTGTAACGGAGCTGCGAAATGCTAACGAGGAGCAGCGGAATGCTAACGAGGAGCTGCGGAGGCAGCGCGAGCGCTTGGAAGCGGACAGCGGTACGCAGCTAACGCACAGGGGGGTTAGCTAGCCCGCAAGCATGCGAGATCATCACTAGACTACCCTGTTAAATACTGTGTGCCGGCTTACTCACCTTTTGTAAAGTCAGTCATGTGCTTTGTCCGCGTTGATTACGAATGCCCGCTAACGTTAGCTGCGATGTTACGTTGATGCTAAGAGAATAACTATTCAACTTGAAATGCCATTTAGTCACTTGTGACTATAACAGCAACACTTTCCAAATGGGAAAACAATGAATTAAGATGAATTCTAATGAAGTTTAGTTGAGCAATATTTAGTTAACGTTACTTGGAAGTTGCTTAGATAAGAATGCTGTTTAAGGTGTTAGGAGTCTCCTTTCAATCTGTCCTACCCTTTAAATTACACCACGCTTCCATTGAGAATTGTCAACTTTACTGTACTGCTAATATTGTGGTTATTCACGTTCAAATCCTGCATCTATCTGTATTTCATAATGGTGAACCTGTTTCACAGCTGAGTGGCTCTTAGGATCTGATGCTGTTTCATCTCTAGTCTTTGGGAGGCCTCAAGTTAAACTACTGTTGTCTGCGTGGTGCAGGTGTTGTGTTGCATGTGTACTCATGTGCTCCTCTTGATTGTCCCGTGTCCCTGCAGAACAGCAGTATTTTGATATTGACAAGAGGCTGGCGGAGAGTCAGGAGCAGATCCTGTCTGCCACGAAAGACGTGCAGACCCTCAAGGAAGAAAATAAAAAACTCAGTAAGGCGACACAGGCTTCCATTCTACACTCACTGTCTTACCTCTGATTGCCCGAGGGGTCAGTGCTTAAAGTACCCGGGTTCCTCAACTTAAAGAGGGCTTTTTTCCTGTTGGCCTCCCTGATCGTCAGTGTGAGCGGCGTCTTCTTCTTCTTCTGCGCAGATGAAGAACTGAGCAGTCTGAAGGGAATCGAGGGAGAGACGGCTGAAGATAAACCACCACAACAGGTAGTCTTGCCCATTTACCTCCTGTGCATGTAGCGTTAATGGTGTCCTTTTGTTGTTGCTTATGTGATAGGATACTACAAAATAAAAGCCTTTCAGTTTTCTGTTGATGAAATTAGTCTGTATTCACTATCACTAGTACATTTGTTTTCTCTCTCCCCACAAAATCACCAGTTTATAGAGCAGATAACCTCCTGAATTTCACAATGTTTTTGGATGATTTCAGCACTTTATTGAGTCATTCAAACAACCAGTTGCTCTGTGCGTTTACAGCAAACAAAGGCTAAGTATGAGCTTGAGGCAGAGAAGAGAGAGCTGGAGAGGCTGCTGGAGAAGAGAAAGCAGGAGGTGGAAAACCTCACTGGTGAGATATCTGCTTAACACACATTTGGTTTTATTCTTTACGATTGTTTTTTTTTACCTCAAGTCAAATCACCTAATATAGCCCAATATCACTAATTAGCCCTATGGGGCAGTACGATCAGTGCATCACAAGACACCATCTGAGTTCCATTTGAAGTTTTAAGGTTTTAGGGTTACGGTTCATGAATTGTGTGTGTTTTGTTATTTGCAGACGATATGAAACGACTGAATGAGAAGCTGACAGAGACCAGCAAAGTGAAGACGGAGCTGCAGCTCAAACTGGATGGCTTACAGTCATCTGAAGCTTCTGTGCAGGTTTGTAGTAGATTTCATAGAAAGCGCATGCTGTTAATGTTAACGCTCATGTAGAAGGGCGTTGAGATTAAATCCAAAGACATAAAATGTATTTGGTTGTGAAATAATAAGATTAGGGCTGCAACTAACAATTATTTTGATAACCGATTATTTCTTCGATTAATCGATAAATCGGATTAAAAAAAAGAAAACGCTATTAAAAAGCTTTAAATTCCAACCCTTTTATTCTAAAACAGAACTGCAATTTCACATTGCAAAAATACTTCATAAAGTACAGGTTGTCATTTATAAAAAGAAAAATACATATCGTAAAATTTAACAGGATTTGTTTTAACGTCAGAACTTGTTTTCTATACTACACTCACAAACACACCCCCATGTTCACTTGAAGCTTATTCATTACCTTATTACCGTCATTGTAGTGCAAGTTAAGTAAATGTTTACACAGCACCTAAGTACAGCTAAAAAACAACCACGTGCTATGAGATGAATTTAAAATGCCATTTGTAAATTAGAGGCTTCTCAGTTAGCCGCGCTGGTTTAATGGATCACCGTCTCTCCCTTTACAGGGATAACATCTACCGTATAACCCACAGTATGTGCGCAAGCACACTAGACTACCGTGTATGACAGCATTAAACACACACAAATATATTTGTCAACAATAACCAATATGGGACCAAGCACGGAATATATGCAGACAACAGACCAGAACCACACATGAATAGTTACAGTAGCACCCACATATCTCTGATTTCTAATGTGCTTTTTGTGATTACTCGTTCTGCACGCGGCAGCACCGAGAGAAGCGCATGGAGCAGGAGAAAGAGCTGCGTGAGAAGAAGATCGAGTGGTTAACGGCAGAACTGAAGGCCAAAACTGAAGAACTATTGAACACCAACAGAGAGAAAGGAAAGGAGATACTGGAGTTGCAGGCGTGTCTGAAGAACAGCAAGGAGCAGGTAACACACACACACACACACACACACACAGTGGAAAAGCATAAACCGAGCAGATCGGAAAGTATTATAGTTGTGTATAGAAATGGTTTTCCTGAATGTAGAGGGATGAAACGTTTGCAGGGAAAACGTCCTGCGAAGTTGCACATAACCACCAAAGAGCACTGCCGTTTGTTCCCAGCCAGGTTCCACTGAAATGATGTACTATAAAGACATGTGATGTCTTTATGATACATCACCCATTCACTTCAACAGGTGACCAGATTGGAGGGGCAGCTGACCTCGCTGAAGCAAACCAGTGAAAAACAGAATGAAAGAGGCGAGGACTTGAACAACAAACTCAAACAGGTGATGACAACACACCGGTTCCTTGGCTGAAAGAGATTGTTACCTTTTTTCACCCCTTATGAGTTTGCAGATATGTGTATTAAATAGATGATCGTCCTCCCACCGCCGTGGAGACCGGCAGGTGGATTGGCCACACCTAATATTCTCAAATTGAGCACTTTTATATATTTATGTTCCTTTTCTAAATCCACATGAACCAACCACTCTGTATTTCAAAAGTAATTGAATCTATGGCGGCAAATCACTGTCAAAATGGAAAGGGAAAGGCCGCTACGGCAAGCTGGACTGTCCGGCTGCTCTCAGACGTGTCAACTGCCCGCAGACACCCAGGACACACTGCAGGGGTTATTTGGCAAATTGTTGGCATTAAGGAAAAATATATTTTTGTCCTTGCTTACAGGCCAACGAAAGTTGTGCTGGACGGGACGGGTTTCCATATGCAGCATTTCTCCTTGTTCTCATGGTCTGAATTTCTGTGCAGGCTAAAGACGAGCAGAGTGCCATGGAGGAGAAATACCGCAACGAGCTCAACGCTCATGTCAAGTTGTCTTCCCTCTACAAGGTGAGAATCACAGCTGGCCACTCTGGACCATTATATTCTCTTTATTATATGCTCTCTATTGTGCGGTCTGGTCTGTTTGTTCTCTTCATGTCGTCGGTACTGTCTTTGTTCTCCCTGTAGTTGGCAGCAACAGACCTGGAGACAAGGAACCAAGAGCTGAGCAGAGCTGTAGAAGAGCTCAGCAAGCTGGTTAAAGACTCTGGAGAAGGTATTGCCGTGGTTTCTATTGTCTGCTGTGCCCCCCCCCCCCCACCACCCATCTGTCTGATCTAATAGTATTGAACAGTCTGCATCAGTAAAGTGCCCCCCAAACCTGTTTGTATGTGTGACGTATTAATGGCGACATGTGTGATCTATGACACTGTGCCTCTCTGCAGCCAATAAGACCCTCGAAAAGAAGACGTCCGACATGGCGGAACTAAATACGCGGTTGGAGGCGGAGCTTACAGAGAAGATCAAGAACATGGAGAAGGAGCTGGAGACCGCCACGGTGAAGGCTTCTGGAAAACACTGCTGTAAGAACACACACACACACACGTGTTGTTTGTGTCCAACTCGCGGTGCCATTTGCACAGTGTTGTGTGTACATATGTGCCTTACGTGTGTGTGTGTGTGTTGTGCTCCAGGTGCGCCCTCTCTGACCGAGGAGCAATTGGACGCCATGTGTCCATCGGCAGCAGCCATTTCTGCTATAGTAAAGCCCGCCATGAAGTTCTTTGATGTGAGTTTAACGGGACACCCCGGGGATTGGTGGGGGTCCGACCTCCTGTCAGTAGTGTGAAATGTCTGCACAGCGATAGTTTCAGATTTATATTTACTAGTGCTGGGCAGCTGTTAACATTTCTAATCTCATGAATCTTTGCGATTTATCTCGTTGTAATGCACACATACACAAAATTCTCCAACTAATTCAAATTAGTGTATTGTCCTTTTGTTTGTTTGTGCAAACACCGTTACAACAAATATTCCCTTTACGAAGTTGCAGTTTAAATATTTATTGTTAATTTGAACTTAAACTTAATCAAATAATAAATTTGAATGTAATCAAATAATAAAACCAAAGCTTTTTGCCTCCGCAAGGCCTTTTAAAAAAATAGAAAAACAAGTTACTCTCCATGATCATAATAATATAACGAGCAGGTTAACATTTGATGAATGACATAATACACAACTAAATGATAATTACCACATCACACATTTTAAGATGCATTTGAGGGCCGTTGGTTTTCACTGCCTTAACTAAGTTATAAAAGGTGGATTGAGATTTTTATGGCTTGTTGCAGCGAGTATTTACTCTTTCCTCCGCTGCGTTTCAGCTGTACAATGCGTATGCGGAATGTCAGACGCAGCTTCAGCTGGAGAAGCAGGAGACCAGGAGGGTGAGCCGAGTTCTGGATGAGATCGTCCTGGAGGTGGAGTCCAAGGCCCCGGTCCTCAAGCGCCAGAGGGAGGAGTACGAGAGCATGAAGAGGTCCATGACCTCCCTGTGCAACAAGCTAGAGCAGGCTCGAACGGTACGTCACCATTTTGTGTCAAAATGTATTGCATTCATTCATCTTTTGACCACATAGAGTTTAACGTGTGTTTCGTTGAATATTTGTCATTAGGAAATCTACAGTTTGCAGAAAGAAAAGGAGGAGGCCAAGCAGCGCTGTGACAGCATGGAGAGAGAAAAGCTGAGGACGGAGAGACAGCTAGAGGACACATCTACACAGGTACACAAACACTACATGCTTTCTAACATCTAAATGTTAAATGTCGCTGTGTTACTATGAAAGGACACGTGAACTTATTAGCCAGCACAACTGATCTGTATAGTGAGGCAAGTGAGAGAAATACTTTTTGATGATCTAAATGACCTTGTTTCCATCTATGAAAACTGGTGGATCTTTTTTGGCCAAAATCCTCAAGAGGCTGAAATGCTCCACGGCCCTATTTACCCCTGAATGGACCAGCATCTTTCATGTAACCATAAAAGCCGATTAAAATCCATTTCCAGCAGAAAGAAAGACATGACAGTAATCTTGCATGACATATAATAAATGTACCACGTGTATATAATACTCGCCTGGAAGAAAAACATAAATGGGTTTTAGTCCTATTCAGGACTTTAGGTCCCTAAATGTGTTTCTTGTGCAGGTCTGCTCTCTTCTGGTGGAGCTGGAGGAAGCACGAGGTAATCAGGTGACTCGGGAGGACGGCACCTCCGCCAACATATCCAGCACTTCTGAGGTCACCAGTCCGCGCCAGCTGTCCTTCCGCAGCGTGGAGGAGCTGCAGAGGCAGAACCAAAGCCTACTGAAACAGCTGAGGGAGCTGGAGGAGGAGAAGGAGAGACAACAGAGCCAAGTGGCATCAGCGCGGTAATAAAGGCATCGCGAAACCTAGATTTATCTTTATCGACTCGCTAGTGGCAGACGCTTTTCCATAAAACGTCCGATACAACGTCGTCATCTACTCGAGCAGTAACACTTTGTTCCACCTGACAAACCAAGCTTGCAGGTTCATGATGTAAGATAAGGGCGTCGGCCATTTAAATGTTTCTCTAAGAACTATAACTTTTGATCAGTCTATATTGAATAATGTCAATGATGTAATCTCTCCCTTATTACTCCACCAACAACTGAAGCGCTTGTTCATTCGGCCCTGCGTTGGGAGACGATGGGAGTCGGTCCCCGATGAGCCAAAGCATGTTAGGCTGATGGATGCAACAGAGACACACACACACACACACACACACACACACACACACACACACACACAGCCAAACACTAAATCTGCTGGTGGAGTTTGTATAATTACATCCAAACCCTACACACGTAATTCAACAGCCCGAAGTTACAATTCAGCCGTCAGCCCAGTAACTTTAATAAAGTCAAAGGCATCAGAAGTGAGAAAAGAAACATTCCCGAGGTGGGATCTACGCAGCGTTTCTGAACGTGAGCGGCGTCTCTCTGGTTCCCCTCAGCGTGTCGGAGTTGGAGGCCGGCGTGGACAAGCTTCAGAAGGAGGTGGAGCAGCTGAAGGAGCAGAGGAACCAGCAGAAGCAGCTGGCCGACTCCAGCGCCAGACAGAGGGACATGTACAAGACCCTGCTGACGCAGAGCACCGGCTTCAGCCTGCCTCCTCAAGGTGAGCCGCGAATACTCGTTTACGTTTTGGCCTTTTTCAACATTCAGGGTAATTGTGTTTACAACACAGAGGTTTCCTGTGTGTCCGCAGGTCCCGAGTCTTCATCCCACCCCGCACCCGTTAGACCGCCGTTGCCGGCTACTCGCGCTGCTCCTCAGAGAGCCGCCGCCGAGTCGGCGCAGACCGCTCAGGCCAACGCTGCCTTAAAACAGGTACAATCCGTTGCACACGTTAGCTTAAATCTGCAAATCCTCCCAGGGTGAAATGAAAACAAAGGTCTGAATTGGGTTGCGGTTCTTACTGGATGTATTCGTGTTTATGCACCTGCAGCTGAGCGACTCCTTCGCCCTGTACAAGAAGGAGAAGGCCGAGAACGACCGGATGTTGAACGAAACCAACGAGCGGCTGCAGAAGCAGCTGACGGACCTCCGCTCCAGCCACGCCAAGCTCACCTCGCAGCTTGAGTTCAGCAGCAAGAGGTTGGCTCAGTCCGGCACGACTGCGTTTAAAAAAAAAGTCTCCCAACGGCTGAACCACGAGCCCTTGGGAGAACTTTTTTTAACGCCGCGCCGGCTTGTTTTTTTTCCCTTCTCCGTAAGGTACGAGATGCTCCAGGACAACGTGTCAGCCTACCGTAGAGAGATCTGCGCCCTGCAGGAGAGGAACCAAAAGCTGTCTGCCACGGCCCAACAGCACGAGCACGTCATCCACACGATGAGCCAGGACCTGCGGCAGGCCAACGAGAAGCTGGCGCTGGAGGAGGTGAGGAGGAGCTTGATCATATGCAGGGTGCTCTGAGGAAGTCCCACGTTGACAAAAGCTGGATTTAAGAGTGAGATCAAATCCGCTACATTGGGTTATTCCTTGTCCCCCTGGTTTCACGCTCATGACATATTTATTAAGGGGCACATTGGTGTCTCAGTAGCTTTTTTCATGTTGAAAATAAGCGTTTGATTCTGTGAAATTTCAGTAGATTTTTAGCCTTACATTTCATGTTTATAACATCAAGTACAGTATGAAGAGCCAGCCTGACGATTCAGAGAATGTTACTCTGCAGATACTTTATCGTTAAGAGGAAACTCGAGATGCACTGAGCGATCAGGACCAGATGCAGCCTGATCACATTTCAATGATTGCGCCTCGCAGCTTTTTATAGCTTGGACATCGACGAGGACAGCACCCGATTATTATCACAGACACAGTGTTGCCAACTGTCTTGCTAGATTTATCAACTTTTCTACCCACTAAAGAAATAGTTGTTCAACTTATTCAAGGTAAAATAGTTTTTTAGTGTATTCAAATATATTCATTCCCAGTACTGTCTTTCCAGTAGATCCTGATTCATACATTGTTTGTTGAAAATAAGTGAATAAGTAAATCGGTTGGTTTTATAATAGACCTACGTACACAATGTAGAATCATTGTTTTCTTTGAGTCTTCGCTGATCTTGACTAGTTAATAAATGTTTTCCCGAACCCTAAAGCGGTTTTCACTCCCTGCCCTGACGCACTCATAAGCCCCCAGCGCTCTCCGGCTGTAAGCGCCTCCATGTGCCTTCTGTGCCTGCAGGTGCGCGTGGAGAACTTCACCAAAGAGAGAGACATGTTGAGACAAGCAGAGAGTCGACTGAGTCGAGAGAAGGAGGCCGTGCTGGCTGAGCAACAGAACCAGAACCTGCTGCTGACCAACCTCAAGTCCATACAGGTAGCGACTTTGATTTAACCCGATCCGTCAGGGTTGTTCGGCAGTGCTGTTACCCTGTGAACCTGGCGGGGTTTTAACCTGTTGTCCTCCTCCTCCTTGAATCCGGTCCAGTTGACCATGGAGCGGACCGAGTCGCTGACCCGCCAGCGGCTGAACGACAAGATCGAGCATCTGGAGGCAGAAGTGGCTTCAATGAAGACCAGGCTGGACCAGGAAGTGGCACAGAAACACGCCCTGGGGCGCACAATGGATGTATGTAGAATACGTGCAATTGGGGATTCATGTGCCAACACTACCGTCTTAGCTGAATAGTGATGATGTGTTAAAGGGCTTTGAGGGGTAAGAAGACTAGAAGAGGTTTGTAATTAGTCGATTTACCTTTTTGCCACACTTTTTTTTTTTTTTTTTTAATTGTTACATCCATGCAATTGATCGTCTGCATTTAAGCCCTTGCATTTGCCCAGACAGAAGACAGAGTTCAATAGACAAATGTAAACTGTCTTCAGTATGCTGTTGTTCATCTCATCGTGTTGCTGTCACGGCCACCTCCTTCACAGGCCCAGTTGTTGGAAGCAAAGAAACAGCTGGAGACTCAGAACACCTTGCAGCAGAAGACCAGGGAGCTGCTGCGCGGCGCTGAGCAGCAGGTGGTGGCGCTGAAAGCCCAGCTGGCCTCTGCATCGTCCTCTGAGGCCGTGGCCGCCACCGGCAACGCCAGCACACCGGCCCCCAGGGCCGCAGCCCTCAGAGCACCACTCCGAGGTGAACAGCGGGCTCTACTGAGGGCCCGAGGACCATCCTTCTAGTCAGTGGAGCGGTAGCAGGAGCTGACGCAGCGTCAGAGTTTTGACAGCTTTTTTTTTTTTCTGGTCCCTTCCTACCTTTTAGTACGCTCTCCTGTACCAACTCCCGTCTCCCAGCAGCTCAGCCAATCAGAGCAGGAGCTTGCCGAGGTGAAAAGCTCCCTCCGTACTGCTGAAGAACAAAAGGGCGAGCTGATGGAGCAGCTGAAGAACGCTAACGCTACTGTGGAGCAGTACAAGGCTGTGGTGCTGACTCTGGAAGACAGTCTGAAGAAAGAAAAGGAGGTATGGATCTCTGTTTCGCTCCCCTTAGCGAACCAACCACACACTCACAAGTCTCGTATTCATCTAAACTGACCCTCCTTCCTCCTTCTAGTCCCGGTGTCCTCTGGAGCTCCGGCTGAAGGAGTCTGGGGAGGTGCAGAAGCAGCTGGAGAAGCGGATTTTAGAGGCGGAGAAAATGAAGCAGCAGGAGCGAGAAGAGAGGAGGAAGGCCATGGACGCTGTGGAAAAACAAGTAAGCCGAGCGATGCGTTGGAATTATGTAAAATGTCCCGTACGGTATTTATCTCAGTCACAATGTAAGGAAATAAAAATACAGGTGGAGGTCAGAATGTTCTTTAAAAATCCAGTTAGTCCGTGTTTCTACCTCTTAGTCGTCAGATAATTAGTCCTGCTTGACCAAGGAATCTATTAATCATGATTATATCATTAAAATAACATAATAGAAAGTTATTTGTCCACCTCCTTGGCATGGCTCCATTCATCCGTATGACACAGAATAGTTTAACTGACTTCACAGCAGTCTGTAAATCAAAGAGACAGAATGACCCTTCTTATAATGCCCGAGTGATTTTGCCTGACCGTTTTAGAACGTTTCCATTCTCTGCTCTGTCGTCCAGGTGTGTGAGCTGCAGCGCACGCTGAAGTCCAGCCAGGCAGAGCAGCAGGAGGCGCTGGAGAGAGCTGCTGCTGCCGTCACAATGGAGCAGAAGGCCATTCAGGACAGCCAGCTGCAGGTGCGTTAAAACACACGTTCATGCTGGTTAACCACTTCCGTCACAACCAGTTGGCTTATATATCTTGACCACACCACACTGCATTAAAGCCGTGGCGCTGCCGGCCTTCTGTCCGCCTCCTCGTAGACTAAGCTAGCTGCAGAGGCGCAGGCCAAGTACGAGCGGGAGCTCATGCTCCATGCTGCGGACGTGGAGGCCCTGCAGGAGCTGAAGAAAAGGTCGCAGCAGAACGCGGCGCAGAGGAGGGAACTGGAGGAGCAGTTGAGCAAGACCTCGTCCCTCCTGCAGGAGAAAACCGTAGCTTTGAGCGCAACTGAGAAACAGCTGAAGGTGGGACAATGTTAAGCACGTCCAGAATACTATCGTCGGGTGAAAGATCGCAGTGTCGAAAAAAAAACCTCCCGAGGAAACCGTCCTAGCTGAATGTTTCTGATTGGCCACAACTCTCCTTCAGGAGGATCTGGCCAATAAGACGCGTTGCTGCGCGGAGCTGGGGAAGCAGAACTCTCTCCTGCATCAGCAGATGGATGAGATGGCCTCCAGGAGTCGTCAGCAGCGAAGCCAGCAGGAGCAGCAGCTGGACCTGTCGTTCACTGAGGAGGGGAAGACCACCGAGCAAATACTGGAAATACTCCGGTAATACAGCAACACCCGGGGTCAAACACACCGTGTCAGGAACTCAAAGGGAGTATGACGCGAATCAGAAAGCAGATTTGACAGGTTTGACAATTGGGGTCATTTAAGTACACAACCCAAATATAAATAAATGAATATAATATATATATATATATATTTATAAATGAGAAAAGTAACATTAAACCACAAATAAATATACAACAGTCTTAAGGTTGTTAACATACACAAGTTTTTTTTTTTTGAAATATTAGAAATATACATTTTAATTTAGAAAATAAAGTAAAGCATCGTCTCTTTCCTCCAAATTTCCATTGATTCATTGGGATTGAGTTTGAAATGTGTGTGTTGTAGGTTTGTGCGGCGTGAGAAGGAGATCGCCCTGGCTCAGTGCGAGGCCTCCGACAGAGAAGCTCTTCGCTACAAGCAGCGAGTGGAGCACCAAGATAGAGAACTGAAGGAGCTGCAGGAGGCCCTGAATGCCGAGAGGGAGAAAATGCAGGTAGGAGACCAAATGAAAAGCAGCGACAACTCACCGTTTATACAAAGTAAAAATATGATATGACGGATGACCCGTGAATACTGTTGATCATAATCCCTCCTTGTGTTCCCTCTCCTTCCTTTGCTCAGGCTACAGCAAAGACTCTGGCCCAGCAGCAGGAGCAGCTGAAGGAGATGGAGACCGTCAGCACTCTGCAAGAAACCACCCGGATGCTGAAAATGGACCGAGACAAACTGGAACAGGAGCTCCTGCAGGCACAGGCCAAAGTAAGAATCCAGTGCAGCTTCTCAGGGTTTGGTGCCTCCCTTTGATTGCAGTGAGCAGTGGTTCGTTATTAGAGAAGCTGACCGTCTTTAACGGCGTCTTGGTCCCTGAACATCTCTATGGCTCCAACTCCATCAAGAAAAAAAAATGTGTGTTCAGTTTGTAAACTAGACTGGCTACTGTGCCCCCGGTTAGCTCACTCAGTGTAGCTCAAAACAGTGATGTGACGGTCTGTTGATAACGGCACCCTGTTCTGTAATTGAATGAAAACATGTTTTAATGTTTGCACATAGAACACATTCCTAGAAGTTGTGATGTAACAGCAAAGGGCATCCTGGACAAAAACAAAATTGTAAGGGTGGGTGGTAGAGGGAGTTCTCAGTCCACTCCTCTTGCATTTGGACGGCCATTCTCTGTTCTGCCCCTGCTGTGCTACATCCGACCACCTCCAACACCGGAACCTCTGCTGCTCCTAAACCAGAGTAAAGCTCACAGCATCTGTCTATCTGTCAGGTTAGCAAGCTGCAGTCCGACATCAGCCCGCTACATCACTCCCTGTCCATGCTGTCTGAGAAGAATGGCTCCCTGCAGGCTGACAAGAGGATACTGGAGGAAGACCTGAAGCGCTGGAAGGCCAAAACCCAGGTGTGTGTTTGTGGGTTGCCTGTGTGCGTCCTGTCTCCCAACAGCGTATTAGGGCCATTGTAGTTTCCCGGTAAAGGGGGGTAATATTCAGGAGAAAAAATAAAAGAATAAAAATGTATATGAGGATGAACTCTGATATTCCCTGTGAGGAAAGTGGTAGGAAATAAATTAATTTATGAGAAATATTTTTCACAAGTTTGTGAGAGAACTGGTAGTTTGTCAAAAGCTTGGTAACGCAGGTGTTCATGTTGTGAGGATGACCTCTAAATAGGGTTGCAAAATTCAGGGAATATTCGGGTTGGAAGCTTTCCACGGGAATTATCAGGAATAGACTGCAAATCTTCGGGTAATTTAACTGTATTTACCTTGTCATTAGCAGACATGCATGCAAACATTTCTAATACAGCTTTTAAAAATTACTTTTTGGACATTTTGTGAGTAGAACTTTATTTTATTTTACCGTTATTGAGAAATGTACACGGTTCTATCCGATAACGCCATTATTGTAACCAGCAGTAATTGTTGATGTGATTTGCGAGGCGTCAGCCAGCCAACTTTCTAACATTAGCACGTTAGGCTATCTGACGTAGGCTAACGTTCTTTCAGCGCACCAACGGCACACGTTAGCATCTACGCAACCATCTTAAAAGACCGTTCCAAAAACGTTTTTTGAGATACCTTCACCCGTAAAAATATCTCGAGTCAGACAGCTGACTGACGAGACATCAAGGAAGTAAGACGACTATCTTACTGTTAAGTGCTTCTGAACCCGGCCAGTTCCTCCACTGCGCAGTAGTCATGTCCATCTCCCACTTACGACAGATCAACATTGAGCTTTTCTCCAACAATGAGCTGTCAGTTTAATGACGAGCAGCTTGTTTGTCTTCTCAGTAACACATTTACCCCAGTAATATCATCCAAACTTACCTGAGTCAATGTGGTCCTTGTGGCCTCAATAGCCTGCTGTAGTGTGACAAGTTGCCCAACTGCCCATTAGAATACAGTGTTCTCTACAATCTGCTACAGTCAGTATTTTAGTTTGATTTTAACGCGACTGTTGTTCCGCAGCAACTGGTCAGCCAACAGAAAGACGGCGATGTGGAGGAGCGGCAGAAACTCACCACTGAGAGGGAAGCTCAGCAGAGACGCATCACACAGCTGGCTGAAGAGACGGGCAAGCTGAAGACGGAACTGGCGAGGTAGAACACGCGTGCACGCACACACACATGTGCACGCACATACACACGCGTGCATGCCCTCTCTGGGTGCAACAACAACAACAACAGAGTCCTGGTACTAGACCTGCACTCAAAGGAAAATACATTCTTACTTTAACATCGCTGTTGACTAATTGATGACTGTTTGTCATCTAAGATTTAGTTGACATACAAATAATATAAAATATTATTGATGGACTGTTTCTTTACTTGAGTGGTTCTGGCCATAATGTGGGTTAGAACAGTAGAACTGAATAAATCCCTCAAATGAAGCTGGTCTGAAGAAACAGTGCAAAGCTGTCATCAAGCAAAATGGCTACTTTGGAGAATCTAAAATATCTAACATGTTCTGGTTTGTTGAGCATTTTATTCTTTACCACATCATTCCATACGTGTTGAATTGAAATAAAGGAAGTGTCCTGATCTTTGGTCCCAATCTAAAACCTGCTGCTTGTGCGTCAGATCCAGCGCCAGCAGTAACTCGGCTCAGTCTCAGCTGCAGGCCTTCAGAGACTCTGTGGCCCGTCTGACGTCTGAGAGAGACACTCTGAAGAAAGACATGGAGGCCAAGAACAAGGATATTCTGGAGAAGAACAAGACCATCACCCAGGTGAAGAAGATTGGACGACGCTACAAGACTCAGTACGACGAGCTCAAAGCCCAACACGACAAGGTGGGGCCCGGATGTTGAAAGACCTCAACTAGATCTAAAAGTTTGGTCGGGATGAAAACTGAAATGGCGAGTTTGTTGTGTGTCTTGTGCACTGCAGCTGGTTGAGGAAACTGCTGCTAAAGCAGGATTTGAAGCAGGACCGAACCAGGAGACTCAGCGGGAAGTGACTAAAGCCCAGGAGGAGCTCCGACGGGCCGCAGAGGAGCTGAACACACTGAAAGAGGAGGCGCGGAAAAGGCTGGAGGAGGTGAGAAGGGCCCTTTAGTGCCCTCACAGCTTAATGAAAGAACCCTCAAAGGTTTTGAGTTTAGCTTCTGGTGAACGGTCAGCGAACCTTCATTAAATGTCAGAATCCGAGAGACTTGATTGATTCCCGGAGGGGGAAGTTGGGTTTCACTACGTACGTGCTACACTGCAAATAGTAATGCTGACAAATTAAATGAAGTATGTAGTATGACAAGTATATTAATATTCAATTATGAATTTAAATAATTGCACATTATGACCAACAGTCATCTGTGATTTGTGTGCTGTTTGCCTCCTAACCAGGCCCAGAAGAACCAGCAGGAGCTGCAGGAGGCCAAAAAGGAAATCCAGCAAAGCAAGGAAAAGTTCCAGGAGGTCCAGAACCAGCTGACGCAGGTTTGGCAGCTTATTGAAGTTATTGAACTGTGGCTTTGGCTGTATATCGCCGGGACATTGGAGAGATTGAGGTGTCAATAACCGCAGTGTGGAAGGAACCACAAGGGAGGAGAACGGTATATTTAGTGTGGAACGGTAGAAATCACTTGATCCGTTTTCACATTTTTGCTTCTTTAGGTCCAGTCCCAGTTGTCTCAGACCCAAGCGCAACAGCAGCAGAATCAGAACCAGCTGACCCAGAGTCAGAAGGAGCTTCAGCAAGCAAAGAGCCACAGCCAGCAGGTAACCATGATACCACAATACCCGACATAGGTGTACACAGCTATTCTACGTCTACGGCAAACATTCTGTTTAGAAAGTTTGAGCAACATCACACCCAAGCCCGTCCTTTCTGATCCAAAGGTACAGAACCAGCTGAAGTCAGCGCAGTCTCTCGCCCAGAATCGTCACAACCAGAATCAGCAGATCCAGAGGGAGCTTCAGCAGGCTAAAGAGGCCCTTCAGCAGAACGTCACAAATCAGAAAGAGCTGCAGCAGACCCACCAGAGCAGTCAACAGAGTCACAACCAGGAAGTCATCAACCTCAAGGCGGCTCTCAGCCAAGCCGAGAGCAAGGTGAGCGTCTGCAGGCATCAACTGCACCTGGGAGGAGGCACTAGTGCTCGTGTTCAAAGATTTTCAGAGGAATGTGCAGCAGTTTCCTCAGAACGACTCTTTCTAAACAGCCAGCCAAACGTAGTCGCTGACCTCCCTTTTTATATTAAAGTCAAAAACCATTTCATGCCTCTACACACACAGACCGGTGCTCTGCAGGGTCCGCTTCAAGACACTCTGCTGGACCGATTTATTATATTAAATAACAACGTTATCACGTGCTTCACACCAAAAAAATCTAAATACCAGAGAGATTATAAAATACTGTACTGTTATTTTGTTTTTCAATTACCTACTAGATTTATAAACCCCATGCCAGTGGTTCTTAGATGGGGGGCTCGTACCACTGGGGTACGTTAAGACGCTGCGTGTGGCGGGCGTGAGATTTAAAAATCTTTTCAAATTAGTGAATTTTATATGTATGTTCTGACGTCGTCTGGTCTCTTACTTGAACGATGGCGCCCTGCTTGAAGCCCCAATGCTGCTGAGAACGCGGCAGCACATTCCCTCAGTATTCACCAGAATGTTTTACGCCCACACTTTAATAAGTCGGGCACCGATGGCACAGAGTGGTGACACCTGCAACTACATTACATCTTTTTTCCCCAAACAAAAATGTAAAAAATGACCTTACTGAAAGCTTTAGAACCACCGATCTACGATTGACTGATCTAGCACGATTATGTAATGGTGGAATGTTTGCAAACCGGTGGACTATTACCTCTTTTTTTAAACCGAATACCATCAGTTTGTATTTCTTCTTTGCACATTCAATAAATACTATTTGAGAATGCGTCTGCTCATGAAACGGCATGCTTATGAGCAGAATTCTTTCTTTTTGTCTTAAAGTTTCTGCTGTTTGTTTGAACTAATAGGTAGTGCATCTGTGCTTAACTCTCAACAGGTGACTGAGCTTCAGAGCCGCATGGACAACCAACAGAAGGTGTGGAAATGCTGATAAATCAGTACTGCAGCATTTAAAGACCTTTTTGGGATTGCTTTCAGCCTGCATCGAGTAGTCACCCTTTCTAACCGTCTCGTTTACTCTGGATCCTGTTGTCAGCTGGTGGGCGAGCATGAGGCAGACATCAAGCGTCTGCAGGAGCAACTCAAGGAGGCTAACCAGGCTAATGAAGCTAGCCGGGCAAAGCCGGCCAGCCAGGGTTCCCAGTCCAACCAGCCTTGTGAGGCCAGCGCTGCCAGTGACGCTAACAAAGCGCTCCAAGAGGAGCTGTCAAAACTCAGACAAGAGGTGCCTCCAACTTTCAAAATAATTTATAATCACTTTCATTTTCTCATCCTTCGAGTTTTGCAATTTAACTGTAAGGACAATAAGCCGGTATCGTGAACTCTGTTATAACACTGTGTTGTTCCTCCTGCAGCTGTCTGACAGCAAGAGAATAGAGGAGCAGCTCCGACAGCAGATCGCTGAAAAAGAGGAGAAGACAAAGAAGGTCTTCATGGGAGCCAAGACCAAAATCAACCAACTAAACAGTGAGTTCACTGGCTGACAAAGTTCAGCTGATCAAAGAGCTTAAGAGTAACCCGAGTTTCCCATCTGCACCCGTAGGTGCTAAGGAGCAGCTAAATAGGGAGATCGAAGAGGTGAAACAGAGCAAGGATGAGCTGGAGGTGAGGATGAGCGCCCTCAAATCGCAGTACGAAGGACGTCTTCTTCGGCTGGACAGAGAACTGAGGGAGCTGAAAGAGAGCCAAGCGCAGCCGGAGCCCAGAGAGGAGCCACTGGACCAGAGTGGAGCGAAGGTACCGGTCCATAGCGAGAGAACCAATCTCCCTCTGAAATAACTCATTGGGCATCGTAGCCGTCATCTAATTCCACTTTTACGAACGTGTATCTGAATCAGGGGGGTGACCAGGCCAGATCTGCAGACCAGAGACAGATATCCCTGAAGAATCCCGCCCAGGACAGAGGAAGGTAACTACTGGAGACACGAGCACAAGAAACACTTCTCAATAGTTCTTAATAGGCTCTTAATAGGAGTTATGTTCATAGAAAAAGGTAATTGCACAAAAAACTCCCAGTAACAACTTCTCCGTCAGTTCCAGCCAGTGCGACCCCCCCACTGCCAACATCCGCCCCACTACAAGCACTCCGTCTCCGAGCAACAAACCTAGCCCCTCCTCTGGGAGCAAGGCCACACCCCGAGCCAGCATCCGGCCAATGGTTACCCCGGTAACCATCCCCGTCCCAACACCTACAGCCACTGTCATGCCGACCACACAGAATGACAGCCAAGAGGGTGAGAGGAAAAATGGAAATGGTTAAATGTTTTTCTGTATGTGTTGGAGTCTAATACAATGAGTGCCCCCCCCCCCCTTCATCCTCCTCCTCCTCCTCCTCCTGCAGCGCTGATTAGTTCGGGAGTCCCTGTACACTCCACCGGCTCCAGTCTGGCAAACACGTCAATAAGTCAGCCAACCAGCGCCCAGAACACAGCTTTTGTCCAGCCCACCCAGCAGCAGGCAGCCAATCAGGACGCAGGCCCCAGTATGGAGGCAGAGCGACCGTCCACGTCGTCCTCCCTGAGTGGAACAGGTGAGCAGGACATGGTCCCAAATCCCCTCCTGTACAGATGACCCTACCTCACATAAACAAGAAGGAAGCTGAAGACACTGCCGATGTTCAGTTGTGTGTACTGGTATCCTGACGTGTGTGTGTGTGTGTGCGTGCTTTTATTTCTTATAAAGCCGGTTCAAAGCGTGGCAGAGAGGAAGGGGACGAGGAAGAGGAGAGTTCCAGACCAGAGACTTCACACACACCACCAACCAGCAAAAAACTACGCCTGAAACCAACAACGATGATGCAGGTAGGCAGCAACGCATGCACACACACACAGTTGCCGGGTTGTGTTACACTACATTTAGAATATTTTCACCAAAACAATGCACAGGTTTTGGGTCTGCTGCTGTCTTAATTGGTTAGTTTGTGTCATTGTCTAACTCTAAAAGCTCAATTACACAGTTCCACCAATGGCAGAGTTGTTGTATTTATGTATATTGATGCCTCGGGGAGAAAGATTCCACTGAAGAAGCTGCTCAACCAACTTCTGTTTTTTTATTTTATTTTAATTTTGTTTTTTTAGCGACTTTCAGTTCATTGTTAATCTAAGAACGGTTGCACATCACCTGTGCATTTGTGGTTTCAGATGGAAGGTGATGAGGAAATTGAAGGAGAAGGACAGGATTCACCTGACGACAGTCAGGTCAGCCACCAATCAAGGATTCAAGATATTGTAGTTTTTATATGACTTCCCAGTTGTATTCACTTGTTTACTTGCAATCCACAACTTGTCCTCAGCGTTGTTGTTGGTCCGTAGGATTTAGCTAAGCATGTAAATGGGGTTGACCGAAGTGTGTACGGTTTATAGAGAAGGACAGTATACTTCCTTTCATTCAAAGACGGCTCTGCGTTTGGGCTGCAGGAACCTCCGGAGGATTGTTTCCCCGTGTCGGTCGAAGAGCACCAGGACATCGAGGAAGAAGGCGTGTCCCAGTCTGTCCCCTCCGATCTGATGTCCTCTCAGGACTCCGCCATCATTCGGGAAGTCATTGTGATCGACACGGACAGTGAGAGCCACGAGAGCAAAGAGGGGGAGGAGCAGCCGCAGCAGGAGGAGGAGGATGAGGAGCAGCAGCAGGAGGAGGAGGATGAAGATAAAGAGGAGGAGGATGAGGAGGAGGAAGAAGAAGACGACAACGACACGGTGCTGTTCTGCCTCTGCAACACATCCCAAACTGTTTGAATCCTGGAGTTAATAACCCGTCTTTCTGTGTCCACCTCAGTACAAGGAGGAGGGCGATGAAGACGAGGATGATTCTGGTGACAGCGGGATTAGGGGAGAAGAAGACGACAACAACGAGGAGAGCAGGGAGGCAGATCAGGAGGGAGGGGAGGGCGAGCCGTCAGAAGCCTCCAACCTCGAGGAGACAACGTGCCGTGACTCGCAGCGTCCCTCTGAGGCGTCGCACAGCAGTGAGCACTTCCTGTCGCCTCTGGCTAACGTAGCTCCTCCTCCTTTTGCAGCCGTCTAACCTGAATCTCACTCGTCTTGCTAGATGAGGGAAGCAGTGGCGCCACATCGGAGTCCGACGCCCCCGGAGACCTTGTGCACTTTCCTCCGACCTCCTCTGCACCCTCTCCCTCCCCTTCCCCCGCCTCCTCCCTCACGCCCCGCCTCCCACACCCACGTAGGCCCCCGCACCCGCTGCCACCGCGGCTCTACATCCAACCGCCGGAGCTGGGGCCCCCGCACACACAGGTACACACACTGCAAACAATGGAACCCGGTTCCTCCTTGCCTGTAGCTATATATAATGCAGGGGGAGGACTGTTGTTGTGTTGAAGGACAGGACGGGTAATGTCCCAGTGATGCAGAAGGTCCAGTAAATGGTAAATGGAAATTCACGCACTGTAGTCGCAGCTACAGGAGCAATGTTAGGTTAAGTGTCTTGGGCAAGGACACATGGACATGTGGGTTAACCAGGCCGGGGATCGAACCACCAACCCTCTGATTGGAGGACGACCGTGTTCCCCACTCACCCGCAGGCGCCCAAGTACGACCTTGTGTTCAGGGTCATGTTCCACAACACAAATAAAATCTAAAATCTAAAGTGGGCGGGACCGAAGCTGCAGATTGTAATCGTACTTCATAATATTATGTTTACAGGAAGAAACTAATTAGATTTAAGATGTTTTTTAATTGTATGTGAACCATATGTTGGGAACAGTGATGTCAAATTGTTGGCATTTTCCCACTAAATTATTTAAGTAAGTTATTTTTTGGTAATCATTAAAAACCAGCGAGATTACGCTACATTTTGAAATGTCCGGTTCAAATGATATGAATCAAAAGTCTTGCTGCTGGAATCTGAGTAACCACTCGACTACGAAGGCGCGCCGGTAAAAAGCGTGTTGTGCACATCGGTGTTGGACCTTTTTTCCTTATCAAAGAACACTCAGTGTGACTAAAGAAAATCCCAAATGATGACTTATTATTGAATGGAGCAATTCCTTGTATTAAATTAGTCAATCATCTTTTCTTTTAAGATAAACTTTGTTATATGAATAAACGTTGAGCGTTTAGTCACCGTGGAGTTACTGAAACGTTTGGCTCACACCAGACCTCACCGATCAGCCGCTGCCGTCCACGGAGTCCAACAGTTTGAAACTAAGGTGGAGAAGCCTCACCTTTTGTCCCATGTCTGTTCATCAGAGACAGTCCTCTCAGCTGCGCAGACCCTCAGTAGGACGTGGACCTCAACTGACCCCTGGAATAGGCAGTATGGTAAGAGTACTGTTCTATTCTCTCTGTATCATCTGCCTCAAAGGACCCTGCATGCTGCAGATGTACGCATGCAGTGACGTGTGTGTGTGTGTGTGTGTGTGTGTGTGTGTGTGTTTCAGCAACATTTCTTTGACGATGACGACAGAATGGTTCCCAGTACTCCCACTCTGGTGGTCCCACACCGCACGGATGGCTTTGCAGAGGCTATACAGTAAGTTCTTCAAAGACAATAGACTGTATAGTTAGCGAAGAACAGCACAACGCTTTGTAGGCGACCAGTGAGACGACACTGTACGAAGGGGTCAAGTTGTAAGATAAAAACACAGCGACTCCCTTGGGCAGAACCAGCATGTAGCTCCGCCCTAACGCCTCCCCTGCTTTATGCTCTGTTTGACTCTAAATGAACATCGTGCTGCATTGAAGACTTCACTAGAGACTGAGACCATGAACTCATGTTTACAATGTTTGTAGAGACATTTTCTCAGACTTCTATGGGACCAGAGGAGTCGCCCTCTGCTGGTCACTAGAACATCAGCTTCACTTTGCAGGACTGAAGGTTGTCCCTGTGGGTTTATCATTACAAAAAGCATTTAGAAACTCTTTAATAGCAGAACCTTAAGTCCGTTATGAAGACTGCTTGGATTGTTGTCAAAACAATCCGCATGAACCGTGTGTTTTTCCTCAGTTCTCCTCAGGTCGCAGGTCTGTCCACCAGGTTCAGGTTTGGACCTCCGGAAGACCTGCTGCCTCAGACGTCCGCCTCACACTCTGACCTGGGACAGCTAGCCTCTCAAGGAGGTACCACACACACACAATCGTATCACAACGCTTGAACTAATCTCACAGGTTGAACTCCATTCTTTTAACACTTCATCCTGTCCGTCCTACTACTGCTGTGTGTGAAGGTCTGGGGATGTACGAGTCCCCTCTGTTCCTGGCTGCTCACGATGAAGACGGAGGAGGAAGGAGTGTCCCCACCACACCGTTACAAGTGGCTGCACCAGGTGACACATACACACCCGCACACGCACATTATGTACTCTGACAGCTCGGGTGCTACATCACAACTCTCTGTCCACGCCAGTGACGGTCTTCACAGAGTCTCTACCCTCAGACAGTTGCGACAATATGGCGTCCCAGTCGGTTCCCATGGTGACCACCTCCACCGGGATGGCATCTGCTGCTGATGATGGTGATGAAGTCTTCATGGAGCAGGATGGAGAGGGGTGAGCAACAGTCACGTCACCCTTGTGGCCAGAATAAGAACCACAACAACAAACGCCTTGTTGTAAAAAGAACAAGACAATTTGTCCACTTTGTTTTAAGTGGGATAGAAAACTATTCTAATCACCGTGTTTGTGTTTGACTGCTGTGTGTTTGTGTGTGTTTTGCAGGCCTGGTACAGAACCCTCTTTGGAGAACCAGACAGACATGGACTCAACAGGGCAGCAAAGTGATGACTCGTCACTGCCGTCTACCAGCCACGACCCCGGTAAGTCATTCTGTGTGCTCGCCATGATCAAACCCCTACCAGGGAATGAGGAGGGCGTCCGCGAAGGTCTGAGCTCGGCTTTCAGGACAATGATGAATTGTGATTACTGACAGTAACTAACTTTACGGCTGGCGCATGCGTCTGCGTCTTTACTCACTGTTGTCGACGCACTCGTTTCAATTCAGGGTTCTAAAAGTCTTGCGTGTGTTGCAGAGCAATTCACTGCCAGAACAACAGGCGGAGTAACGTGTTTTTGTTGAAGACGGCCTAGAGAGTCACGTCTTTTGTGTGTGGAAGTCGTTGGTTTCTTTATTTATTTATCATAGACTTTATTGCCCCGTGCATCGACACTGCTGCTTTTCATCGCGGGCACATTTGTCCCGTATTTTCCTCCACAACTTTGTACACCTCTCGAACGGCAAACCGACGTTTGCGGTGATCTCCCTCCATGAATCAGGCCATCCGCGCGTCCTCATAGTCCGCCAATGACGACTTATCAAGTCGGATTTTTTCTGACAAAAGCTTCAATCGTGACTCGTAAACATTCATCGTTTTAATAATGGTGGTATCGGGCTATGAAAACGGAAATGTGAGACTCCGAAAAGGATGTAATAGCTTTTGACGTCTAGAAAAATGGGTCGACGTACGCAAGGGGCTGTGAAAAGACATGCAAGGGGCTCTTGCGTGTCCTTTGCGTGTCTCTGAAAACGCACAACCATAAACTAGGCTTTAGTTGTAGCTATGGCACCTAGGATTTAGGACAGCTACAAAAAATGTAATTCAGTCACTCATGTAGAAACACAGCATCGTGCTCAGGGAGGCATGTCTGTAGTAGGGCTGCACGGTATGAATCTCCGTACCGTTCATACCGGTGTTACGTCATAACAGGCTAACGAACTGACACGCTAACTCGCCGGCCAGCGAGCGGCGAATAGCTGTTCGGGAGGCCGCGGCCCTTTTCGGGGTCAATGAATAATATGTTTACTTGACAAAGCAATACGTCCCAACAGAATCTAAATACCGGGTCATGGATTCTTGGCCATACCGTGCATACTCTAGAGGAATTATTTTAGCTTTTTGTTGTTGACTGTTAAGAAGGCGCTGAGGTGGCGCTCCGTTGGGTGGAGCTGTGACTGAGCTACTGTCAGCATGTCCAAATGCTACCTGCTTGTGATTCACACTAAATGTGGTCGTTGCAATAAACTCCAATAAAGGTTTAGTGCAACTGAACTGTTCCCCAAGCTGCACCTTTCTGGTACGATCACACAGTCCTGCTGAACTCCTGCGCTTGCTGCTGTCACATTTGTGTTTTTCTGAATCTTTGTAGTCCCGAACACGTCGGGTGTCAGCAATGTGCTGTGTTCTTATACTCGGCATGTCCTTGTGTGGCTGAAGGTCTGATACTCTTTGTTCTTAGACACCAGCAGCGCCACCCAGCGGCGCACTGTTCCCACTCTGATGAGCATCCCGCCGGCCAGGGGGACCAGGGGAGGGAGGATGGAGGCCAGGACGCCACTCAGCCGCAGAGGTGAGAAACCGAACCTTCCCTGGAGTTACTGGGGCGCGAGGCGCTCCTTCCAGAATAAAGCCGAGGCGTTCACAGGGTACTGAAGAAGCTGTTTATTGAGTGCAATAGGCAGAGCGCAGCATAGACATGTACACGTACAGAGTGATGGGGGCGACATCATGAGCACGGAGGTTGTGGGAACAAATGCATGCTAATCTGCTGTACCCTCACTTTGTGTTTCAGGCACTTTCTTTCGTGGAGGGAGGGGCGGAGCCGTGGGCAGAGGCGGCTTTGCCTGATGATAATGATCTCAGGCAGCAACTCTTTAAATAAGGGAACGGGAAGAAAGAGCTTGTTTACCATTTTTTTGTTGAATTTTAAAATATTCAGGATGAAAAATGAACAACGGAGATATGTGTGGTTCTACGGACAAATTGTTTGTGAGAATGTGTAGTTTGTCATTTTTACATTTATCCATGGTCATTTAGTTGGTGTCTTCATGTTGCTGTTTGGATTGTTAAACTTGTTTTAGTAATAAAGTTGAATGGAGAGTTGTAATCGTCTGCTTTGTATTGGATCGCACAGTGCAGGTGCTGGTTTATTCACTGTATCTGAAGTCAAGTTTTATATTTTTGTGTATTTTTGAAAATCATTAAATTCACCCCACAACGAAAAACAGTGAAGCTTCTTTGAAAATTAACTTTTTTTAAATTTTTGTTATTGTGATTTAGGATTGTAGTGTTTAGTTCACATTGTTACTTCTGTGAATTTATAACTATTGCTATTTTGAAGAATAAGCTGCTGTTTTTTCCTGCTCCGTAGCCATATTTAAGTATAAGTTGCGCTGATACAGAAAACACCGGATCCTCTCGTTCCTACGGGCAGCGCAGCCAAACTTTGATGGAGTTGGACGGGAGGGGGGCGTTGGCCTTTTGAGCGTTGGTTGCCACGGCGACGGGGCTAAGGATGGGCGGGGCTGCGGGGGGCTGCGGTTTGGTCAGTGCGGGCAGCTCACCCGAAGTCAGGACGCCGAAGAAGAGCGCTGCGAGGAAGACAACAAGAGAAGCAGTGTTTGTTTGGTTCAGGCAGCAATGGGGACTACTTTGTCTCCGACGTCCACACAGGCGGCGCTTACGTCCAGAGAAGACGTAGTGCTCGTATGGGTCTCTCCTCCGAGGACTGGGCACGGACAGGGCCGACGTGACCGGGCAGGGGAATCCGGCCAGAGACACTCTGACGTTGATCTCCCCACTGAGAAGAACTTCTGCAAACGACAATTAAAAACCGCGGCATCTCAAGTACCTTCTCCAACGTGCATCTGAAACGTTGCTGCGGCTCCGGTGGACCACTGACCCGCCTGCCGAGCCGAGCGGCCCCTCGCGGATCCGCTGGCAGTCTTGCTGGGAGTCTTGCTGCAGGAGGGAGTGCTGGCTGCTGGGAAGGTGAAGCTCTGCATGATGTCTCCTGGAGGACAGACATGGGTGGAGATGTTCATAGAGGGACGCTGCATCGTGCAGCTCCGGTCCAGCTCGGTCTCCCTGGTCTCCTCACCGCTCTTGAAGAAGTACACTGTCTCCGCTCTGCCGCCGGCGGCTGGGGCTGCCAGTGCGGCGCTGATGCTTCCTGTCAGACCCGGGAACTCTGAGACCAGAGGTTTGGGGTAACCCGGCTCCATCACCATGTCCCCATCCAGGCGCCAGTACTGGTCTCCCTACAGGGGGGGAGCAGGATAGAATGTCCAGAATATTTACATATCACAATACGTTGTAGATTGCTTTTGGACCTGAAACGGCACAGCGTGCTCCACCTTCCAGCTCCACCTTCTAGCCCCAAACATCAATGCTCCGAAATATGGCCTTTGCAATAATACGGTGGCTTTTTCTGCCAATGAATGTCCTCTCCTGTTGGTCCCTTTCTTTCATTATTTTACTGCTATTTTTGACCCTCGGCGCTAAATGAGAACAGATTTTCATTATGGTATTTAAAATAATATAGGGTTAGTTAGAATCCAATCTCTGAATTATTTATGAATATCCTTTTGCTATATATATATTTATTACATTGTGATAATTCATATTAAATTCAGGGATTTGAATATAAAGTGGAGATTTCTCTCAAATCTGTCGCTTTAGTTTTTTTGAAAATCATCTACAAGAATGATTCACATTCCAACTCCCCAGCTTTTCGTAGTAGCAGCTATACTATAGTAGCAGTTGTAGTACTAGTAGTACAGTAGCAGCTGTAGTAGTAGTAGCAGCTGTACTAGTAGTTAGTAGTAGTTGTAGCAGCTGTAGTAGTAGTTGTAGCAGCTGTACTAGTAGTAGTAGTTGTAGTAGCTGTAGTAGTAGTAGTAGTTGTAGCAGCTGTACTAGTAGTAGTAGTAGTACTAGTTGTAGCAGCTGTACTCTCACAGTGGCAGCACAGACACCGCTGCAGCAGGAACATCGTCAGTGTGAGTACTCTGAGGCAGTAGAAGTATTTGCGGTGTCCTACCTTGATGATGTAGGTGTGTCCGAGGCAGTTGCAGCGCGTGAACACGGTGTCGATGGGAGAGGGGACGCCCAGAGTGTCCATGATGCTCTGGGGACGTCCCGCTGAGCGACTGACGCCGTCCACTGACCAGAACACGTCCCCTGAAACACACGCGGGACACATTTAGTCTTCGTTTCCACTGGACGGGGGACACACACATCGATATCGATATTTCTATAGAGAGATACATATATACACACACACACAAACACTGACCTTTAAATATCAGAATGGTCCCATTGCTAAGAGCTGTGAGTCCATTGATGGGAGAATCACTGCACAGGTCGACATCATTAAGGACTCCTACACACACACACACACACACAAAAGAGTCTTGTACACTGAACATCATTTTGGATATTTGTATGTGTAAATACAGTAGACACTGATGTTGCACAAATGCCACACACACACACACACACACACACACACACACACACACACACACACACACACACACACACGGAACCCTTTTCCCACCTGTCCCCAGCTCCAGTAGACCCCCGTCCAGTAGACCCGAGGCCTGGGCGACGTCCTGCAGGGTGCTGGGTCTGCGGTTGGCGACTCCTGAGCCAGCGGCGACTGGGGGAAATAACTTCATTTCATTGTGTGGTGGAATGTAAATATTTATTGTGTTTAAGTTATCAGACATACTTGTTTTCTCTGAACTAAGACAAACAAAATCAAATTAACTTTCCTAATAAATCGGGAATCAAACAGTTATCACCCCAAATTGCTTCCAATCCACTTTTAAGAAATCTTTTTATTCTAAATACAATTGCGACTGTCAGTACACTTCCTCTTACCGCCGGCTGCTGCGGGACCCGGGGGGGTGTGCGGCGCCCGGCGGCGGGGCAGAGAGGAGCCTCGTGCAGGTGAGAGCGGCGCCCTGCTGAGAGAGACGGTGTTCCTCGCACCTGCAGGGGCCAGAGGGAGGTGGTGCTGGATCGGTTTGGTACAATCAACCCAGAAGGAACTCCAGTGTGTCCCAAGTGGTTAAACAACGATACGCGTAGCCAAGATTCGGTTCCACAAAGGCAGTTTGGTAAAATCACATACAATCCAAAAACCTGAACCCGCTCTGGCGCAGGCTCACTTAAGTGAGTTGGATAATCTCTCCACTCCCCCAGAATGCAGCTCCCTCCCTCAGGGATCCCGCCGATGAAGCAACAATACAATATCGGGTTCATTGATTGACTCTGTACCACGTAGGAGGAAGTGGGCCCAGGTTCAGCATGGGGAACAACATTTACCTGTGTACTGTTCTTCACTCGCACTGTTGGACCCTTTCAAGCTCTCTGATCCCAGATTTCCTGAGAACCCGACAAGATAATAACAAAAGGAAAGATGTCAGAGACTGAAAGGCCTGCTGTCTTCTACCTGCTTCAAACTTCCTGTGGCGCGTCTACACAACAAACAGCATCCGGAGCAGCCTGTTATGTTGCCAGCTAGTACATGCATTTAATATTTCCCTCACTTCTCTGCATTCATCAGTCCCCTCCTTTTTTCCACTGATGACCCATTTAAGAAGTGCTTTGCTTTGCTTTCATATTCGAAGAATTCAGAAGGTGCATTGGGACCAATTCAGATACATTTTCTGTCAAAAGGCCTTTTGGATTTGCTTGACTAACGTTGCTTTGAACAGCCGTGACTTGGTGAGGAAGCTCTCCTGCTCATTAGTTAGTTGTTACTTTGTGGTTGCTGACCTGAAGCCGCTGCCCTCACAGCCTGTGAGTTCCTGGGGTGGAAAACTGGCACACGGGCGTCTGTGATCAGAGAGAAAGAGGTGGAAGAAAGCACTCAAGGCCGAGCTCTTCAAGCTTCTTCATGTCTTAAAACTCTACTTTCATTTGGACCTTTACCGCAGAGCGACTGGTGATCATCACAACAGGTGCTGAATTGGGAGCAGTCTGGATCGCACTCACACAGACGGCCGCGCCTGAACGACTCACCACAGCGACCCCGACAGGACTGAGCTGCAAGCAACAGAGCAAACAGAGCGTCACCAACACAGCAGAGCAACAAGCAGAGCGTCACCAACACAGCAAAGCAACAAACAGAGCAACACACCAGAGCAACAAACAGACCAACACAGCAGAGCAACACAGCAGAGCAACAAACAGAGCAACACAGCAGAGCAACAAACAGAGCAACACAGCAAAGTGACAAGCAGAGCAACAAGCAGAGCAACAAACACCAACACGGCAGAGCAGCGGGCAGACATCCCATGAGTAGTACGTATACACAGGGTGTGTGAGTGTTGAGTGTCGTACCATCGGTGCAAGTAGCCTGGAAGTCCGGGCAGCACTCGCCATGCTGCTGGCAGCTGAAGTCACAAGTGCAGCGCTGTCCTCTGGTGAAAGCCTCCCCACAGCGACCCACGCAGCTGCCTGCAGCGACACCGCGAGTGCACGTACTTTATCAGCCAGGTGCATTGAATGACATCATGACTTATCATCGAGTGGACTGTGAGGATGTTAAACCAGGTGTTGCCATGACTTGGAAGCATTATTAGACAGCTATAGCTGGCGCACACAACCACACACTATGAGGCAGACTATGGACTTTCCTGGACACTACAAAGTGTTGCATGTGCATTATTAGACATTTTGAGTCTGAATCTGATGCCACGTCAACATGCAAAGTGTATCTCAATCACAATGCGATTAGCAGACATTTGATAGTACAGACATTCTGAGGTATAAGTACGCTATGAGAAGGTTTCATTAGTGTGTCCTACCCGGTCCAGTAGCAGCAGTGTAGGTGACAGCAAGGCCGAGCACCAGCTGCAGCAGTGACATCTCCATCATCCTGGTCTTCATCTTCACTCAGAACTCTGCGTCAGAAACAGAAAGAGAGAGTCGGCAGTGTGTTCCTTCTGGATGAAGGTTTGGTGGCTCTTATATAGGAGGCAAAGGCACTGCGACAGGACACTTTTCATCAGCACCCCAAACAAACACACACCCGCAGACTCATTAAAAACTGCCAAGAGGTATTTAAACTTCCTACACGGGCAATAAATGAACTCCTACACACAGCAAAGCTGTTTCAAGACCAGAAGTGGAAAGTTACTAATTGCACGTGACCTTTTTATACTGGATGCAACTTGGATGCACAACTAAAAGCCTGTGTTTCTTTTGTGTGAGGTCTTTGTATTCCACTATTTTGAATATCAAATCATATCTAAGTATTCTTACCGTTTATCATATCAAACATGTGTTCCAGTCTTTTTTTGTGAGGAATGAGGTTCTCCAGCCGCCCAAACTGATGTCGTATGGTTTTTGACAAATATCTGGCATCAGCGTTTGCGTCCAGTTTGTGGGTTGAATATTCGATTCTTGGATCTTGCAGTTCAAAATGTCTTGTTTTTTTGACTGGATCACACAGACATTCTACACATATATATAAGTCTGATGTAAAGCTTTTTAAAAAGTAGCCTGTTTGACATCTGTTCCAAATGAGTTTGTCGCGCTTACGGGCCGTCTGCTGGATGACCCGACGGGGATGAGTCATCCGAGCACCCACCCGGTTCCCATTCACCTGCTGGTGTAACTCCCGTGATGAGGGCGTAGTCACAGTGACACACTCCCGTCGGTCAGACGCTCCAATTAAAGCAGCCCGTAAAACGTTATTAGCGCCCCACATTGTGGCCGTGTACAGACTGTGGGACGCACGCTGGCAGCTCAGAACACCACACACGCATCCGGCTGGTCGTGGGAAAGACCGACAATATGACACGCAGGTTTAAAGTGCGTCTGAAAAACACAACTTCATTCTTATTGTACTTTATCCTAATACACCGTGTGCATGTCATTGCTAATCAGCTGGATGAATCGGCCCTGAGCACCTGCTCTAAATGCCGCAGTGGGATTCTACGTCACCACATTACATTACAGGTCATTTAGCTGACGCTTTTATCCAAAGCGACTTGCGTGGCATTTTTAACCCATTGCTTTTTTACATTGTTCTGCAATTAGGGGTCAGGTGTCTTGCTCGGGGACACTTCGACATGGGACATGGAGCAGCCTCCGTCGCCCCACATCATAACCTCAGTGTTAAAAAGATAGCTTAGCCTTGTGTTTTTTCACTTCGATGATTACCGATGTCTCATGATTTTCTCAAAGTTATTCATGCTGTTATGTGGTTTACATTCCTTGGCTCTAACAAGATAATACGGCTTGAGGAAATTAAAAATGTTGCTGCCAGACTTCTCGACCAAACGTCCAAGGCTTGATCTGTTCTCCATTATTCTACCTTCCCTTCACTGACTGTTCAACAAGGGATTCTAAAATAGGAATCCTGATTTTTAAGGTCCTGCATGGTATGTGGAACAAAGCTACTTGGCTTGGCCTTAATCCATCATTACACTCGCTGCATACAAACAGACTGAATTGGTCTGAATTGGAAGTGTCTGTTTCTTTGTGTAACTGACAGGTTGTAGATCTGCATTTACTCAAATTGGTTTTAGTGCTCTACCCTGTTCAATGACTTACCAGCGTCTGCTTGCATTACCTCATCCGCCTGATGCCTTTCTGTTACCTCACTTATCCTTAGTTTCAGCTTTATAGCGGAATCGTTTTGATGGTTAACTTTATGTTCCTTATGGGTAAGGAAACTCTTTTTGTTTAGACACAGAAATGGGCTTAATTCAAATTGGGAACATTTTGTTAGATCAATGTATTGATACATTCTTTCAATATGTTAATTGTTTGATATCAATATTTCTGAAATTTCAGGAATCATTTATGGACTTAAGTGAGTATTTTCTATTCTTGTTACTGTGTTCAACAGTAAAACATTGACTATAAGGCAGTGCTTTGTTGAGGCCTACTGTGAAAAGGTTATTCAGATGGCCGTGCATGTACGACTCTAGGCCTCACTTACTATCATCTAGCACTTTATTACTAAACTACGTTTATTGGCTCTATTGCAGCGCGAAACATGCAACATCCTGGTGACACCACGTCCTGTTTGAAAAGGGAAATTAGTAGGCCTGTAATATGCTGTAACAGATTGCATTCATATAACTGTTATTTAGCCACCTTGCTGCGCAAAATATGTCAAAAATAATACTAATTATACTGAATTTGATTTAAATCCGGAACTAAGAGACCGGCTGCTTGTTTCCGCCCGGACCAAGTGAAATAGGAGCCAAACAACCGTCACGTGAGCGATCTCTGTGGCGGCACGTTTCTTCTCTGGCATTGATCTCGCTTTACCGTGTTCTTGTAGTCAGCTGTTTTTAACCCAGCCGGTCCAAAGCCGCACTGACGAAGCTAACGGGCTAACAGGCTAACGGGCTAACAGGCTAACGAGGTGAGTTAACTAGGCCAGTGGTTCTCAACTAGTGGGTCGCGGACCCGTTTTCAGTGGGTTGCTGGACCGCGGCAGCATGAGCGAGATGACGTGCACACGTCACAAAAAGTCTCCAATCACACCGGATAAAGTTGCTACATTTGTCACAAGTTTCCTTTTGTTTTGAAGAGTTTGACAGGTGAGCCAGGTCGGGTCGAACCAGCCTGTGTCCTTGTTGCCTTGTGTCCTTTATCTTTGATTTGAAGGGAAACCAGCTAATTTGATGTAAAGGAGAATCTTTCCGTCCCTAGACCATCGTTTTGGTTTAAATCGTTTGGTTTTGTTATGCAGTGCATCCTGTGATATTCTATATATCTAACGTTATATATATATATATATATAATCTATATCTTTTAATTAAGTCACTTTGAGTTGAGAGCGTTCGTGGATTCGGTGGCGGCTCAGCAGACAGACCAGTTGAGAACCAGTGAAGCAGCCGGTCCTCAGGCTGTCGTCGTCATGCAGATGTTATTACATCTGGTGCCTCATCAGGCCTGCAGCTGTTTGTGTCAAATTGCATCGGCACAAACCGCTTTCAACAGATGACAGACGGGAATCGATGTCATGGGACGAGAAGCCATAGAATAACACAACAATAACATATGTTACGTGACATATGTAAACAAAAAGATTAATACAAAGTTACACCAGAGAAACAGAATATTCATGAATTAAATCTAAATCTTAGTTTAACTGTTAAACAGTTAATTTGCCTGCTATTGAGATGTTTTTATATCTTCTAAATCAGTGTGTTTATTTCACATTTTACCCAAATATCAACAAATGTAGGTAACAAACGGCATTTGAATGTGACTTTTGAAGCAGACCGCAGCGCCCGTCCCTGCAGTCATGCTCCTGGTGGACGCCGGTCTGTTCATCGGCACTGTGGCCGACCTCAGTGATATCACGGCATTGCACAACTCAGCCGTCACTCACATCCTGTCCGTGGACTCTGAGAAGCCCGCCCCTCTGGGTCCTGCTGATGGGGGCTTCCACAGGAAGTGGGTCAATGTTCTGGATGAGGTGACATCTGACCTCCTGAGTCACATGGACGACTGCTTCCTGTTCATTCAGGAGGCTGTGGATGGAGGCGGAGCTGCACTCGTTCACTGGTAAGGGGTCGAAGGTCGACGGGTTTCCATCCAGTGTTTTACTTCAATCCTGTGTTCATCAATCAATCAGTTGATTATCAAAGAATACCAAGCAACACACGTGTTCAGTGCTGCATTTGATCGAACGACTGCAATGAGAATCTTTACTGCAGTGTTTCCCAAACTGAGGGACAGGACCCCCAGGGGAGGCGCGCTGGGCCGACGGGGGCGTGGCTCAATTGCATACAAAGCCTGCGCACAGTCTATCTACAACATTGCATCACTGCACTCAATATTGTCAATTATACTGTAGGATAATTGTATTCTTTAACCGCACACCGCTACTAAATGTTAATTATAATACGGGTAGATGAAATCCAGCGTTCTGATTGGTTGAGTGAATCACTGTCATTTTTCAGCATAACACTTGCTGTTCACATTGACCCCAGCGTTCCGTATCACTGTGCACCCAAAGTAGCAGGTTAGATTTTGCGCGGCCGTTAGTTGACATTTTAGCTTTCAGCTCGGTGGCGATCGCCGAATAAAACCCAGAAATCCCACAAATGATCCGTTTGATCGGTTCCGGGCAATGCCAGCTTTCACAACCGGACAATTAAGGTGGACGTCATGATCGATGTGAATGAATGAGACGGTGCGAGACCCGATGCTGTTTACGTGCAGGTACAGGGACTATTTGTCTCTAGACTACTGAAATGAGACACACAACGTTTGGTGGCTACAACTACTTTGTGCTGAAAGGCAGCGATTTACTTACTGATTCTAGTTTTCAAGTGGGAATTGGAGACAGAAAGTAAACTTCCTGTTTTAAATGTGGAAATATTTGCATTGTTCCCCAATTTCAATTTTAATATTGAAGTAAGTTTACTTGAATATATCTTTACAAAATGTAACAAAACTGGAAAAGTAAAGTGATGTGTACTTATTTCAGAAATACAACATACAATGCTGTTCTATGTCAAAGGGGCCGTGACAGACCGTTAATTGTTTTTTAAATGACTAAATATGCTTAAACTGGGTCTTCCTCCCGCTGACAGGGCACATTTGATTATCATAAAGGTTGTAATTGTTTGTGTCAGTCAGGCGGGTCGGAGCCGCAGTGCCACCATCATCACTGCTTATCTAATGAAAAGATACCAGCTGGGCTTCAGCGAGGCTTACCACAGACTGAAGACCGCCAAACCGGACGTACAGTGAGTGTGTGTCTGTGTGTAGATGGGTGGGCTGTCTCTTAAGGGGACCCCGTCGGAATGGATGTCGTTATCAGGACGCATGATGCACAGCTGATGGTGTTTCAGGGTCAACCGTGGTTTTGAGGAGCAGTTGTGTCTCTACGAGGTCCTGCTGTGGGAAGTGGACACCTCTGGTCCTCTGTACAAACAGTACAGACTGACCAAGCTCACGGAGAAGTACCCTGGTAACCCCCCGACACACACACACACACACTCACACACACACACACACACACACACACACACACACACACACACACTTATTTAGTGGGATTAAAAGCTGGCAGATGAGTGGCCAACGCACAACATGTTCCATTGATTCATTCCTGTTCTCTTGGTGTGTGTGTGTGTGTGTGTGTGTGAGCAGAGCTGCAGCACGTTCCCAGAGAGCTCTTTGCCGTCGACCCGGCCCACTGCAGCTCCTCAGAGGCGTCCTATCGCTGCAGGAAGTGCAGGTGAACACAGTGCAGTCTGATGAGTGCCATGAGTTCATGGGTCCAAGTGCAAAAGTGCTTCATTTATAAAATAAAACGTTTCAAGCATCAGGAAATCCACACCCTGAAACCATCTTCATCCTCCTCTCTGCAGACGATCCCTGTTCCGTGGCTCCAGTATCCTCAGTCACCCAGTAGGAGAAGGAGCGCCTGCCTTTGGCCACAGGAAGTCCGGTAGCAGCAGCAGCGGTAAGAACCCGACCGTGCTGTTCATCTCCTCCATCTGAGCCTGTGAGGGGCCTTCAGGAGGGACAAGAGGCAGAGATCAGGGACTCTGGAAACGCATGATGAACGTCCATAAACCCAATTAGGAACCCTGAGAAAACAAGATGCTGCACATAACTACACAACGATTGATGACTAATGCCAAATGCATAGTGCAGTAATCAATGCAAAAATATAGGCTTAAAAACCAGAGTAAACATTTAATCCTTACATCCGTACAGCTGTAAAAGCATCAGGAATTATATTTTGTAGTTGCAATACTCTGGACATCCTTTAAATAAGTGTCCAGCATCAGTTCCGTCATATCTGGAGAGTATTTCTTCATTAAGAGGAGCATGAAAAGACGCTGAAGGCCTTTCTGTAAAAGGAAAACATGGATCTGCAATAACAGTCAAAATGTCCCGTGAACTGAGCGTGTATTTCAATGAATGACATGAAACGTGTTGTTGTCCAGGAGACGTCCGGTGCACGTCCTATTTCATCGAACCTGTGCAGTGGATGGAAGCGTCTTTACTCGGAGTGATGGCGGGACAGGTAACGCATCACGTACCTCATCAGGACGTACAAGTATGAATTCACCTGCAGCTTTTAGTTACAGTAAAGTTCTGATAAATAGTGTTTAACACTTTAAGCTGAAATCTAACTCTTATGATAACACCTGCAGGGCAAAGTAAAGTATGCATGTTGGTCAGATTGCTGTGGAGGTTTTCTGATGTGCCACCCCCCACCTCCCACCCCCCCGTGTGTGTAGCTGCTGTGTCCGAAGTGTCGCTCTAAGCTGGGCTCGTTCAGCTGGTGTGGTGACCGGTGTTCGTGTGGCTGCTGGGTCACTCCCGCCTTCCAGCTGCACCGCAACCGAGTGGACGAGATCCGACAGCTCAACACGCAGACGTGACAGTTTCAGTGCAACAACAACTATCTTATCCTGTTATCTGATGAGTGGCCACAAATAAATGCATCTTTTAATCCTGCAGCTACATGGATGTTGTTGGTAAACGTTCAATGACTGGTGCACGTCCTATTCCAACCTTCCCAAAGGAGACTTTTATACCATGCTTAATATTTGACTGGACAAGGATCCCTTGGGAAGTCTAACTGTTTAAATGTGAAAAGTAGTGCAGCAACATGTACAGAAATGACAAATAAAAACACATACTTGTATGAGAAAAATCTATTGCGTTTTTCCAGACACTGTAAAGGAATCATTAAGATTTGAAGATTATGTCAGTAACCTTTGTATGGCCACATCTGTTGTACAGCCATTAGTCTGCTGGGCTTCAACCTGTAGATGAAGGACCACCGGGCTCAACTACTCTGAACGTAGTACGATGTAAAACCGCTCTAGTCTTGTCCTGGTGAACAAGTACAGGTTTCAAAGTAGGATAATGGGTAGACTGGTTCAAACTGATTGCAGTGTTGAGACAGACTTTCAAAGAGGGACGAGCTGACACTCCTCTCCTCTTCTTGACAAAGCTTAGCAACCCACTGCGGATCTGATCCTTTGTCTTCTTATGTTTAAATCTGCTTTTGATGCTCTTAGTGAGTAATAGTCATAATAATAGTTATAGTTATAATGTACAGATGTTTCCTCCCACCAGATGATTCTCCCTGAAGTAAACTCCGTCTGCTGTCAGCATTTGACACATTTGGTGAGAATAGCTTCGTTAGCATTTCAGCTATCAGCCCTGGCTTTAGGCGTTAAAATACTGAGAGCCATTAGGAGGCAATGCTCCCCATTCTGTGCGATGGGCCTTCATGTAATTGTTTGGTTTTTAATCCTGAATTAAAATATTCAGTCTTTAGAAACTCTTCAGTTTCGGAAATCTGAAACAAATGACAACATTGGAGAAGATGTAGACATAAAATGTTGGCATCGTATTGACCGATGAACAGCGAGCTCCACTCTGACAGGACCGGTTTGGGAAAAAGCAGAATATTGATGTAGAATTGCATTCAATTGTTCGAGGTAGAATGCGATGTTCTGTCGAACAGCAACAGCATGTCGAACAGAGTTCTAGACTCTCGTGATCACACAGACAACCAGAGGCCATTTATTGTTCCAAACAGGAAGTTTTTCAATAGAGCGATTGGTGAAATATTAAGATCTGCAGGCAGAGACAATGTTTTCTATTCAAAGCAGATTTATACACGTGTCAGGTGTTTTATGGGAACTTGACAGAATTTGCATAAATGAAAGCCAGGTACCTTGGATTCCTTATAGGGCCTCTAGGAGAAATGGGGCAAGACTCTTTTGAAATTGACTTTTTAAATGTTTTTAAGCAATAATTAGTTTTTTTTATTTATTTGTTTTATGTTGACAGTTGAATGTGGCACTACTGTCTTACCCCCCAGGGTACTTTAAAGTCTAGGATATTGTATTATTAGCTTGATATAGCCGTGTTAAGCTCAAAGGAACTTGCTTTATTGTTCTGTATGTCATAAGGTTTCTGTTAAATATGAAAATGCAATGTTATAAAACTAATTAAAGCAATAAAATATCATGTGCATGTTGAAATATGCGAGGCACATGCAAGCCTACTGTTGGGAACGGCAGGGGGTATTTGGTCAATAGCTAATCTGAAACTAAATCATTGACATCAATAGAATTTATAATCACTAAGATAATTTGCTAAATAAATAAATAACGGGGCACCACCGTAAAAAGGGACTAATAACCAAACTATAAATCAAGTCTCATAGTTATTATTCACTCATTAAGAGCAAGGAATTGAAGGTTTCAGTTTTTACACTGACCAGCATCACAGTACATATAAACAAGGTTAAGAGTACAAGAATTCACATCTCATGAACATGAGATGTTATAGCATATTCTAAATATGTGTGTCACGCACTAAGGACACGGCCGCCTTAGAACATGTGTACCAATTCCAAAAACAGTTTGGTCATTTAGTAAGGGCACTTTCCCTTCTACAGCCGTGGCCCTTGTTTGGAGAAGCTACTCCATCCCAATGTGGTGGCATTCCTCCACCACCTGAGGGCGCCGCAGAGCTTCTCAGGCAGGGAATAACAATGTGGGAGCTGAACAAGAAAAGAAGTAAAACCTGGAGATGATCATGGAGCTACAGACTACATTTAGATGATCTCCGGTTCCGCTAGTCGAGGTGTTCTTGGGAAGGTCTAACGTCAATTTAAGTGTTACTCACAGAAACATAGAGGAGCCATCTGGAACAAAAAATGGTTCCTCACCATTGAATAACCATTACTGGGTGCTCAAAGAACCTTTCAGAACCGGTGTTCCATAAAGACCCAACTCCTTGAACTGCTCTTTAAGGAGCCACAAAGGTTCCTCAAAGAACCTTCAAGTAATGCTTCTTTCAGGCACCATTTCTGGTTTGTTGAAGAACCTAAATAAAAAAAAGGTTCTCAAAGTAACCATACATAAAATGAGCATATAATGGCCTCTCATTCTTTGGCTGTGGTACGCGGAGGGTTTTACCGGAAAGGGGTCTTCTCTCTGTTGAGATGTTGTTTGGCCCAAAGTAGCTTCGCTCTGAGCTACCAATGTTTCGTCTTTGAAGTCAATTCTGGTCAAATGAATTACGACATTTGGTCATTCAGTTGCTGGGTGTTAAATGACTACAAGTCCGTCGCCCCGACGTCCATGGGCATGAAGTCCTTTGAGAGGCTGGTGTTGACCTGAAGAACATCACAGGGCCCCTACTGGACCCCCTGCAGTTTGCATCCGGGCAGACAGGTTGGTGGATGATGTAGTTAACATGCTGCATCACCTCCACACCAGGGACGTATGCAAGGGCTCTGTTTGTCGTCTTCAGCCAGGCGTTCCACACCATCGCGGGTACTTGGACCCAAACTCTCCCAGCTCACTGTCCCAGCCCCACCTGTCAGTGGATCGCCGAGCAGCACCTGGACCATCATCTCTGGCACCCCAAAAGGATGTGTGCTCTCCCCTCTGCTCTTCTCCCTCTACACCAGGGGTGTCAAACTCAATTGCACAGGGGGCCAAAATTCAAAACACACTTCAGGTCGCGGGCCGAACAGAATAAACATTTATTGAACACACTAAAACTAAATGTTTCTTTTAACATAAATATAAATACAAACAGACAGGAATGTTATTCTGCAATAAATAAACTTAAACTTCAAATAACTTAAAATATCTTGCTCTCCATAAAAATATATCCAGTCAAAATTATACAAGTTAAAAATATGAACATGCTGCAAAAAACCGCCTGAAAAAATAAATAAAAATTGTGACAGTGCTTGTGCTTTAAGTAAACATTAAAATAACGAATCAAAACATTTGAGTTTCTTGCTTTTGTCATTTTATATAAAAAAAGCCCTTAGATTTTAAATATCACAAATGATTTTACTCTCCATAAAAATATCTCCTGTCAAAATTATACAAGTTAGAAATATGAAGATACTGCAAAACAAAATAGAACCTGGAAACCGTCGTGGCGCAGGGGTTGGAGAAGATGTGCTGGGAAGAAATAGTCTGTTGGTTCGATTCGAGGCTGCCCCATGTTCCATGTCGAAGTGTCCCTGAGCAAGACTCCTAACCCCTAATTGCTTCCCAGTCAAAAGTGTGAAAAAGCCATGGGCATAAAGTGTAATGTAAGTCGCTTTGGATAAAAGCGTCTGCTAAATGACCTGTAATGTAAAAACATTCAGTTTTCTTTTCTCTTATGCCATTTTATCAGAGCTGGATGCTCGGCATCTTTTTTTGGCAACAAGTTGGTTTATGTTTTTCGTGAGGTCCCGTGTTGTGGAGACTCTCAGGATGGACTGAAGGTGCTCATCAGTGAGACGACTCCTGTGTGCGGTATTGTTTTCATCACTGAGAACAGCTTCTCACACAGATATGTGCTACCAAACATGCACAAGGTTCGAGCCGCATGTAGACGGAGCTGGGGCATTGCTGCGGGAATGGAGTGAATAAACAGTGTCGTACTTTGTCTTTAGTGTCCCATCACACTGCAGCTCAATCAGCTCCATCTGAATCTGCACAGGTGCAGTTTCCACGTCGACGGCAAATGGGTTGCGAAACAACTCAAAATTATTTTTTTGTTCCTCAAAATCACCAAAGCGCCGTGCGAACTCAGTTTATCAGCAAAGTGCGTATTTGGGAACACCGTTGTTCCGCATTACTTGGCAACAGGGAAAGTGGGGCAAGTTGCACTGGTGCATTTGTGTCTCCCATAAAATCAGCTTCACTGGAAATGCCTTCACTGCGTCATACATGTCAGTGATCATGCGGTCACGTCCCTGGAGCTGGAGGTTTACGGCATTGAGACGTGCGGTTGTGTCAGCCAGAAACGCCACCAAAAGCGCTCGCCAAGGGAGCTGAAGCGCTGCATTATGGGATCTGTAGTTTATTTGGTTATCAGCGCTTCATATCGTCGGGCCATTAGTAACAATAATATAAAATGATCTCGCGGGCCAGATATAATTGCATGCCGGGCCGGATATGGCCCGCGGGCCTTGAGTTTGACATATATGCTCTACACCAACGACTGTCAAACTCCTAAAATTCTCCGAGGACTCAATGTCCTCATCCTCATCAGGGACGGGGATGAGTGCGTACAGAGGGAGGTGAACCAGCTCAATGCTGTGCTGCTGGTCCTGTTCTACTGCGCCATCATCCAGTTTGTTCTCCGTTCTTCCTTCGCCGCGTGGTTTGGATCGGCCACTGAACAGGACGGGAACAGACTACAACGGTTCATGGTGTCTGCAGGGAGAATCATGGCTGCACCTCCAGGAAACGGGCAGGAAAGATTACTGCAGACCTTCACACCGTGGACTCAACCTGTTCAGACATACATATGTATATCATTTTGAATAAATGTTACAGATTCCTTGTTATTGTATATAAAAAATATAAATTCCACGTATGCATAAACATACTAAATCATACTGAATCATAAAGCTGATTCTGATACGTCACCGATCCTTAAGACGATATGTCATGTGCAGAAGCTTTTTTGTAACAACCTACATTATCTCAGTATTTTTTGCAAAACACGATTGAGCAAAACAGTTACCGAGGTACTCGAAGCCGACCCCTTGAAGTACAGTTGAAGTTACAGTAAGCGGCATTAACAGAGGTCGCTGGAAACCTGCACACACACTGGAAAGAGGGTGTAGAGAGGAGGAAGGGGAGGAGGCGGACCCACATAAACGTGACCGCC